AGTTATAATATTTCAATAGTAAGAAACATAAGAACAACAAAAAGGAGAGTATTCAATATCCATCAAAATTGGCTAATTGCTAAGGGATATTTAGTTCAAAGACTTTTAGATTTCAATAAGGAAAATGATTTTAAAAAATTATATTAAAAAAGGATGAGCGATTCGTGGGGTTTGCTAATTTTAGATAATATAAAATTTTTGTATTCGGTTAGAGGAATATACGATTACCTAATAAAATTATTTATTATATTATCTTTGATAACAAGTGAATAACACATGAAAACCATGAAAACATATAATAAATAACTTATTTATTTAACGTTTTATAGGATTATTAATTGTAAATCATTTATATATTTAGTTAAATATTTTTAAAATTTTTAATTAATTTATTTATTAAAAAATAAAATAATAATTTCCTTTTAATAAACGTCTTCTTGTATACTACAAAATTTATAAAAATATAAAGACAAATATACTATACACTTTTAATATATAAAACTTTATAGTAAAACTTGTGGTTGTTGAAAATTATTAAAATAATGATAGAAGAATATCATGTTATGGAATATAAGTTCATTTTAATTTTTACAATTAAGAAAATGGAAAAAAAGTATGAATCATGAGACAAGATAGCTTCGTGAATGGAATATAACAAAAGATTTTGAATTTTATTTTTTCAAAATAGATGGTACACATAAGCATTGATGTTAGATGATGGCCATAAATGTTAAGAAGAAGACCATTTTTATAGATAATGTTTTGAAGCAAGAAAACGTAAACATTAAAAAAGATGACCTTTTTTTTTTTTGCAAAAAAAATCGTCTTTTCCTAAAAAAAAATTATTCTTTTTTCTTTGTTAGGAGAAATAAATTTTTTAATAATATATTTTCAACAAAAATTGTATTTTAATATTAAAAATGTTGTCTTGGTTTAAACTATCTAATTCAGAAAAATAAAATTTTGCTTAATATATTTTAAACAATGATCATATTTTTAAGATTAAAGATGTGATTTTTGTTACATTTTTAAAAAAATTATCATATTTTTAAAAAGAAAAATATAATTTTTGTCAAAACTATAAAAAACAAAATATAAATTTTTTCATAATATATTTTCAACAAATATCATGTTTTTAATTTAAAAATATAATCTTTATTGAAATTACTTCGAGAAATAATTTCTTTTATAATACATTTTCTGAAAATAACAAAGACCACATTTTTTTTATCTCATAAATGAGATCTGTATTTAAAATATATTAAGAAAATTTTATTTTTATAATATCTTATAAAAATTATTACATTTTAAAAGTAAATAATATTGTCGATATAATCCAAAAATGCAATTAAGTGAGAGCAAACCAAAAAAGTTTTCATTTTCCTTCACGAATCCAAAAAACCTTAGGAAGAGAAAAGCCTTTTGTTTCCCTAATTTTCCCATTTTTGACATTGTTGAAAATGTAAGATTCATGATTTTAGGGAAAATTCTCCGATCAAACTAAAGAATCAAATAAAAAAAGTTAAATTTCGAAAGAAAAAAATTAGATTTCGTGAACTAAATGCTTTTTAAAAATATTTTTTTCAACAAAAAAAAATTTCCTATAGCATTATATTACCTTTTAAAATATTAGTTTTTAAAAATATTTTCGAGCATAATAGATATAGCTTGGAGATCTTCTTTAATTACAATCCTTCATAATTAATTTCGTCAATTGTGAACTTGTTGCATAAACTATCCAATCATTTTACACAAAGAAAAGCATTGAACAAACTTGCAATAACAAAATGAAAGAAAATAAAAAGTTAAAAGTTGTAAAATATAAAATATAAAATAATAATTCATCAAATACAAATATAAAGAAATTTTAATTATTCAACTGTAAATGCAACTAAAAACAATTGATAAAAAACAAAGAAATACAAAAAAGAAAATAAAAATAAACAAAATGATTAAATAAATAAACAAATTGTTTTCTATAAAATACTTGAACAAATAAATAAATTTAACTCAATGTTAAAAACACAGAATGTATAAACAATTAAAAAAAATAAATCCCACATACATATCTTGTGACAATTTCCATATTTATCTTTATAAAATTTTTCTCTCATTGATTACAATTGAAAATTCATCTACACCATAATAAAACTCACAACAAAACCCACTCTTCTATTACGTGAATTAATATTTATAACTATTAAAAAGCATTTAAAAGGGAAAAATAAAGTTTGGTGCAGATTAATTCTGATATAGCGAATAGGGACGGAGTTAGAGGGGCAGGTAAGGGTTATGATTTCTAATACAATGATCAATTCCACTTTATTGTTACTTTAATTTCCTTTTTTCTTCTGAAATTATTTTTTGGTTCTTCTTTATACATTTCCTGCCGTCTGATGATGTCAAAGGGTGTGAAAAGGATAAAGTAATTTTCATCCCCATCCATAAATTTTTATATTATATTTATTTTTATATTCATATTTAATAAATATTTTAAATTTATTGTTATCTTTATTTTTACGGATATTTTATTGGTATAGATAATTTTCATATCTATAACTTAAAATAAATTAAATTTTATTTCTTAGTTTTTTTATTTTTATTTTGTATATTTAAATAATTTTTTTATAAATATATATTAATATATATTTTTTAATAAAAATATATTAATTTTAATTAATCTAAAATAATAATTTATATTATTTAATAAAAAAATTATTTATTAAATATATATAAATATATAAAATATAAATACAAAACAAATATTATATTATTTGTCTCAATTCTCGTATCTAATAAAAAATTAAAATCATATTTATTTCTATCGTTATACTCATCTTATAATGTATATTCTCATTTCCATTAAAATAAAAAATTAAAATTTTTATTAAATATAAATAAAATTGATATCCCTATTGCCTTCGCTTCTGATGGTGTACTAGGATAGTTCTCACTACCATAATCTTCCCAGCACAAAACCCTGTATGCGGCTGCAATCCCTTGCCAGCACACCACTATGGTTACTCTACATGAAAATAAAAAATAAGCTTGCTAGAGTTGCTATGCAGCATTAAATATATAGTCTGATGTAAAAAGTGAAAGAACTACAATTGAATATCTGAAATACTCACATTTGCAGAAATATTAATTGTAACTGCTTATGGGATCGGTTTCAGTCTTGCAGACCGCAAAAATAAAAGGCAAATAAAAAAAATAAATAAAGAAAGCAAAAAAAAAAAACCATTTAAACCCATAAAAAATAGAAAACCTGAGGTTAATAACAGTGTTGGTGTAGGGTGAATGTTATCCTTCATGCCTTGGGAGTTTAACAAAATGATTTATTTTTTTAAAACTTTTAATTTTGTATAGAAAGTGGCTGTTGTTGTTGTTGGCAATGTGGTTGAGCTCCTGTTAATGGATTGGCTAAAGATGCAATGTTTTTAATGATTAACTTATGTTCAATGAATTGTGACAGATTCCTGCAGTGTACATGTCTTGTATGTCTGCAACTATGGTTTTTAGGTTTTTTTTTTTTTTTCAATTCTACTAAAGTTATGTCATGGTGGAGGATTTCTGTCATTACCATATGATAAATTTTTTTTATGTTTTTCCAAATATAAAGGATACTTATTTGATGATTTAAAACAATATATAATGATATGATATAAATAAAAAAAATATAAAGATGAGATATGATTCAAAATTTTAAAAATAATTAAATATAAAATCAATAAAATAAAAAATATATTTTATATTTTTATATTAATACATATAATACATAATTTTTATAAAAATATTATATAAATATATATTTTAATATTTTACATTCAAATTTATTTATTATTTGGATGGATATAATGGTAAAAGGGTTGTTGATGTGCTTGTTGTACCTGGCAATGGTCGGGTCTTATCTCGAAGGGTCATGTTAATAACAGATAATGAAATGTAAGTAGAGATGTAATTGATTGAGTTTAAATTGATATAATATTAAATTTAAATTTGAGTTTAAGTTTTATTTTAAATTTGATGTTCGAAGCTTAGTGTAAATTCAATTGAATTTTGTTTTTTTAATTCGAGCTCAACAAATAAAAATCAAATTACTTGATTTAATTCGATTAGATTCAATTAACATGTAAAAATAAATTTGATTTGTATATTCGATAAAAATTTGATTATTTGTATTCGAACTCAAATTCGAATTCAAAATATTTTATAAATTAAAATATATTAAAATATAAAAATTCGATTAAATTCGTAAATAACTCAAATCATATATAAAATTACTCAAATTCGACTCAATTAATAAGTCAAATTATTCGAATTTAAACTTGATTCGATAATAATTAAATTAAATTTTATTCAAATTAAATTCAAATAATTTATAAGTATTAATATATCATTTACACTTGATAAATTGAATAATTGATTTTTTTTATCCCCCTAAAACTTTTTAGTCATGAATTTTTTTCAAAACCCGAAAGGAAAATTTAAGGCATTGAACCTTTTTCAAAACCGAGAAATAAATGAAGGAACTCTTGTTTTTTCCCTTTTTCAACAATATTGTTTCCAAGTTTTTTGCTGATTTTTTTTTTTTTTTGGTTGTATCTTTTTACAAAACTCACTGTGTTTTTTTTTTTATAAGGTTGATGGGGTGAAAGAGGAGCTCGGGCAATGAGGGGTTGAGTGGGAAAAAAATTTTGAAGTTTTGAAGTTTTTTTTCTTTTATGGTATGAATGAATTTGAAAATTTAAGTGATAATAAAGCTTTAATTATATTTTTTTCTTAATTATTTAACACCATTATCTTTTTAATAACGATAATTAATCACAGAATTATAAATGAAAAAAAAATTTCACGTGAAAAATGCAAATACCGCATGCATACACGTGGGATTTACCCTTAAAAAAGTATACCGCAAAAGATGACGTGGCGTTCAGACAACAGGAACAAACTATACCATGAACAGAAAAAGAGACAGCTTTAAAAAGCCAGCTCAAAATCTTAATTACAAAAACAACGCACCCTCCAAAAAAAGAAGCTAAATTCAAGGAAACAAAATTCCAACTTATAAGGGAACTACAAGGCCATTTTTTTTTCTTCATTTAATTACATCCCTTAATTCACCATCAAAATCTCTTATCTAATTTTTTTTAGCCCTTTAAATTCTCTCCTCTCCTTAGTTTCTCTTTGAAACCAAAAAAGAAGCTGCAAATTTTGATCTTCTGTCCGTTGTACCCGGATCCGACCCGACCCGGGTATGTTGACATATTCCTGTTCATCTTTGTCTCATTTTCTTGGCTGAGTCCATTAGAGAGATCCCATTTCTGGAAAAAGGCTGTGGCCTTTTTTTTCTCTGGTTTCTTTGTTTTCAAGGTATTTGATGTTATTTGATCTTTTTCTGGTTAACATTTCTGGGTTTTTCTTTGTTTTTGTAATTCTGTTATGTTTCCTGGGTTTTGCTTATCATGTCTGCATCAATATTCATTTAACATTGGTTTTTTATATTGGAATTTCTTTGTAAAGATTATTTCCTTTTGTTTCTTTTCCATCACCTCCAAAGTTTACTGCTAATAAAAGTTGCGTTTTTTCCGATGATTTCAATTTTGGATTCCAAGTTTCTGTTTTTTTTTTCTCAGTTTTGTTTAAATTAGCAGCATTGACTTTTAATTTTCTTCTTTCTCTAATATTTATTTTAATAATGGTTTTTTATTAGATTTTCTATAGGAATATTTGCTTTTGATTTTCTCAACATATGATTGATTTCTCAGAAGCTAGATTCTTTCATAACAAGATTGTGTGTTTTGATTTTGCCAATTTTCAGTTTTGGATTCAAAGTTTCTATTTTTTATCCTTACCATTTTCTAAGAAATAAAATTAGATTGTTAATATTGTCTTTGTTAAGTTGTTTTCACTTTTTTTTTTTTTAAGTTTGAACATTGTCTTGATTCCTTTCAATGTGAAAAAAAAAAAATCTTTTCCAATTTAGGTTGTATTTTATCCTACTTCCAAGTTCCATCATTGGATTCATTTTTTTTTTTAAATTATTTTCTCTTTGATGTTGTGTAGCTCTCAGTTTTCACTTTTACATTGAGTTATTTGAGCATTTTCATATCCCTTTCTGATGTGGGACAGATTTCATTCATTTTAGTTTTCTGGTACGTCATTGTTTATTTAATTATTTTATATAGTTGTCCCATTGGATGTGAAGCCTAAATTGTCTTTGCTTTACTGCTTTTCCTTTTAACATTTCTATTTAAACTTCGAAGAGGTGCTGCTTCCAGTTTAAACAAGGGTATTCCTGACATTGATCATCCCAAGTGTTCACAAATCATTTGTTTTATTGATTTTGGATTTTATCAAGGGTTTTTAAGTTTTTTTTTTTTTTTTCTCTTTTTCCTTCTTAAAATGATTTTTCTGATTTAATGAAAGGTTTGAGCTCTAGAATCCATGATGTGGACTTTTGTTGGGTTCTCAATTCAGTTGTTAAATCTATTTTTCTTTGATAATATGTGCTTTCTGTCAGCTAAGGAGTTTGATGATTATGATCATGATGGTTCCACATATATTCACCTATAGAAACATGTTTTTTTTTAACTGATCATGTGATAACGCCTAACATTAGTTGCAAGTTCTTTACGTTGGTATAGTACATTTGGCTCCTGCAAAAGGGTTGGCATATCTAATGTAGACAATATTTGCTGTTAACCAGGGTTCTGCAATTAAGCAGTCTTAATGGGGAGTTGTGTATCAACACCTGCTAAAAAAATCTATACAGAGAGAAGGCCCCGTCGTTGGTCCAGAAAATACCACCGGAAGGTATCTGGTTGTATCACAGATGGAACCAAGAAAAGGACTAGTGATGCTCGTGTAACGGATATAGCTGTTAGTGAATATGTTCATATGGATTTTGAGAAGGGTGCAACAACTACTTGTAGAAGATCTGAGGTTTCAAACTCAACATTCCATCTCACCCAATTGCAGTGGCATCTTAGTCAACTTGATCCAAATGGTAGGTCATTTCTTTTCATCAATATTCATAGCCTTTGCAGATACATTTTGCTAAAGAATATAGAAGGTTACCAAAAACTTCTGAAGAAAGGGTGTAAAAGGGACTTCTTATTTTCTGAAGTGCTGTAACTTTCCCTCATCTCCTGCCATAAATATTTTTGTTGAAAAGGAACTAGTGTGAATGACAGCATAACATAAGCATTTTGGTACTCTTTTTACTTCTAGTAAGCATTTTATTCTGTGCAATAAAATGTCTAAAAAACCATCTTTTTGTTGTTATTTGATTTCCTTGGTGTTTTGGGTTATTTTACATTTCCTTTGGTTGATCTGAAAATTTTCATCCCTTTTTTTTTCCAAAAAAAATTTCCAACCTTCCAACTAAGAGGGCTTTGTTTTTGTTTTTTTTTAGTCTTTTAGCACTAGATTTCTTGTATACTGTAGCCAGAAAAGAAAATTAAATTTGACCATAGAAGTTTCTTTTTTGCAGTAGCTTGCCAAGAGGATGCATGGTTTGATTCAGTCAGTATTCTGGAATCTGATTCAGATGATGATTTCATCAGCATTCATGGAGGTAACGAAAGTTTCAACTTTTGCTTGATTGTGTTCAAAGAATTTTGTAAAAGAAAATAAAGCATGATGGTATAGCAATCAAACAATTTGGAGCAGAACTATCAAGCATTGTATGCTGATCTCTTTGTGCTATGTTGAAATATAAAACTAATAGTCATTATCTTGTCTAAACTTTTCTGCATCTGCCGAATTTTAGACAAAGTTGGGGCTAATATATCACATACTTATGATTGCTAATTTTCCATATGTAAATTATAGATAAAATGTCTTTTCCTGGTATGTTACATTATAGAGTTTGCCTATGAGAAATGTTTAAGTTGTTGATCGTGCAGTTCTATATTGCTAATTCGAATTCTGAACAGAGAAGGGGAAGATTTAATCATCTATGACCATCTTATTTATGTGATTTCTCTGATTTTTCTTTTCCAGATGGTTTTCCATTGGTGGGCAATGCAATTGGGAATATATCAAGTGGTCAGGTGCTTCAGTATGAAAGTTCTTCATGCTTTGTGGATGGCAAGTGTAAATATGAAGAATACCATGAAAGTTATTTAAAAATAGATGGAGGCAAAATGAGCAAAGATGAATTGAAAGAATCAAATCGGTTTTCTCTCATTAGTAGCCAGGGTCATGAGCTTTCACGCTTTGGAAAGGCTGATGAAATTTGTAATAGGAGGAAGAAACTATTAGATCAATCTTATGGAAGCTTTAAAGGTCTGAAAGAGGATAGGCGTAAATCTGAAGAGAAAAACTTAAGATCTGGATTATCCAGAATGGTTCCTTCTGTTAGTTTCAATGAGAAGATTTTGACATCAAGTATGGCTCCACAAGCCCAAAGAAAAATATCAGCAGTTTTTAGGCTTTCTTTTAAGAGGAGATCATGTGATGCAGAAGACAAACTCGAAGAATGTAAGTAATTCGAGTTAATTTTTTTTTAATGAAATTTTGCTGCTTTATAGAAATTGATAGATCTTTCCCTGTCCTTGTGGTAGAATTTCTACCCTTCTCTTTTTGAGGTCATGTTGGAAGCGGTAATATATTGATCATATTTTCTTCTTAAAATTTTGTTTTGTACTTTTTTTAGTTCAATGATGTACTTCTAAAGTAGAAATTTTACTTATAATATCAACTTCATTGATGTATATACAGGCTCAGCAAAACGATTTTTATATCACCCCAGAGCAGGATATATAATTCCGTGTAGCAAGGATGAGAAGGCAAATCAAGGATGCTGGTCCGAGATTCCACCTTCAACTTTTAAACTTCGAGGCGAGACCTATTTCAAGTATGCTAGTGATTCTCACCCTTGATTTTTTGGCATTTGTACTAGTTGTTATTCTATTGAAGTTGACAATTACTACCGTTATATATTTCTATCCCTTTAATTTTTAACTTAGAATTGTGGATTTGTTTTCCATGCAGAGATAAACGGAAGTGTCCTGCTCCAGATTACTCCCCATATACTCCAATAGGTGTTGACTTGTTTATCTGCCCCAGAAAGATAAATCACATTGCCCAACATATTGAACTTCCTAATGTAAAAGCAAATGGGAAAGTCCCTCCTCTTCTAATTGTTAATATTCAGGTATGTTTTGAAATAGCCGTATTTCTATTACGGTTATTACCTTTTTCTCCCTTTTAGTCTTTGTGGAGTTATCTTGGTCGAATATTCCACCACAATTTCATCTGTAAAAAAAATACTTCCCAGTAATTTCATATATTGTATCTTACTGTTTGTCATGTGTGTCCTCTCGCAGTTGCCTACTTATCCTGCTGCAATGTTCCTTGGTGATAGTGATGGTGAAGGAATGAGTCTTGTTCTCTATTTCAAAGTTTCTGAGAATTTTGAAGGAGTCATCTCGCCTCAATATCAGGAAAGCATCAAGGTAACATTATAAAATTTCACTTTTGGAACGAGTATCTGTATTTAACTTCATAATATTCAGGTCATGCCCTCAGCCTAATGCAATCTATAGCTCCCAAGGCTCACTAAAGTCTGCAGCATAATAAGGATAAGCATTGTTTATATCTGTAGTCACTGTACTAGAAGAGCGTTTAATCCACTGTCTGAGACATGATGATTCTCGGCTATTCCTCTTTGATACTAGAATCCACTTAGTTGATTGAATTATAAGTTCTTACTCATTTGGGTCCTACTTATATACATGCAGATGAATAATGAATGTAGATATTTTAGCTACACAGTCTTTGGTGTGGACAGCATGCCTCTTGATAGAGTATTTTGTAGTTTTAGTATGGTAACTAATGTGAAAGTTGAATAAACACAGGATAAACTTATCTTTTTGAATCAATTTTACCTTGTTTCTTGTTTACCAAGTGACTTTGGCTGTGAAATTTATTCATTCTATATTAGCGACTTTTATCACTTTGTACTATCTGTTAAGAGTTTCTGCTTTTGCTTCAGAAATTGGTTGAGGATGAGATGGAAAAGGTTAAAGGGTTTGCGAAAGAATCTACTGTTCCCTTCAGAGAAAGGCTAAAGATCATGGCTGGGTTGGTTAATCCTGATGATCTCAATTTGAGTTCTACTGAAAAGAAACTTGTAAATGCTTATAATGAAAAGCCAGTTCTCTCACGCCCTCAGCACAACTTTTATAAGGTATAGCTTAAGTTTTGACTTTGTACGTTGGCTCTATCAGTGTCTAGTGAGATGGTAGATTAAGAACATAAGCAGAAGGCACTACCATTAACCAAAATTTTGTCTTATGATGCGACTTAGACACACCAATCTTGTCGTTCGGGCATCACTTAATTAGCTAGTTTCTCTGGATTTCACGCAATCCTTGAGATAATGCCAATGGGTTTCAGTTTCTTCGCCTAGATTCTTGAAGCATACTTTTAGTTTTTCTGTGTATAAAAATGCATACACCATGCACCAATGATAGTAATTTGTAACTACCAAATCATTGCAGTATAGGATCAGTTATGCGGTTGTTGATGCTATTTCTCATGCAGGGCCCTAATTACTTTGAGATTGATTTGGACATTCATCGCTTCAGTTATATATCAAGAAAGGGACTTGAGTCATTTCGAGATCGTTTGAAAAATGGAATACTTGATCTGGGTTTAACCATCCAGGTAAGACACCAATCTGATTGCATTCATAGTCTGGGATCTGTGTCAAATAGACCAGTCAATGACTGGTCATCCATAAATAAAAAAATAACCAAAAATAGACAGGAAACTGTACTCATAAGTACTGTAACTTTCCTCCAAACAACTTCTCAATATTTTACTTTGGTCTAATGATCTCTGCCTTATATCGACAGGCACAAAAACAAGAGGAACTTCCAGAGCAAGTGTTGTGCTGTTTGCGACTGAACAAGATCGACTTTTCCGATCATGGCCAAATACCTATGCTTATGACTGTTCCTGATAACTGACATGGTTGTGAAGGTGCGGGATATGACTCTTGCAAGATTTATAAACTCTTGTATGGAGTATCAACATGTTCATTTTGTACAAGCTCACTTGTTACAATTCCAAGCTTTAATGATGAAAGAAAAGAAAAGCTTTATTGCAAATATATTGATGAAATGTTTTATTCTGGCCAGATAACAAATGTCTACACATATACTTTGTAATGCCATCTTATAGAAATGTCACGCAAGTTTACTACGAATATTGAACCCTTGACCTTTCCATGACTGCAATTTGGACCAATCCATTGGCAGTAAAAACTTGGGAGTAAAATCCTGAATTCATCAGATTGATGTGGATAGTCGTCTAGCTCTTAGACTTGCTATCCTGAACAAGAATATTAATGTTGGTCTCACCATTTTTAGCTTGTGGGAGAATCTTGGGTTGTGCAACCATCTATTGTCACGAGTCCGGACAGATCTGTCCCATACTTCCATCTAAATGTTTTAGGCTCCGTGATGGAAGTCATCCCATTGCGCAGGATCCTGCCAATCACGCTCTCAAGTGGAGCCTTAATGATTCCAGTTAACTGTTTGTTAGTCTAAATTAGGGTAAAGAGCTTAGCAGAAATGTTTAGTAAGTGTAATGAAACCACAATATACATATATCTAGTAGTAAATCAATGGCAAAACCACAAGTTTCCAGGTTAAGTGGAGCTTGAACAGCAGGAATCCAATCTCAAATATATGAATAATAAATATATTTTACTTATTTATTTCGTTATAAATATATGTCTTAGCATGAGCATGAACGAAATTTCATTGTAAATTTTTAACCTCTTGGAATCCCATCCCTTTCCTCCCTGCTCGATAGAAACCTTGAAGCGGGATGGATGTTGAGGAAAAAGAGCTAGAATTTTGATTAGTCTAAACCATAAAGTCTGCACTTGATGAATATAAGCACACAAAAATCTAATAGTACTAAATAAATTGGTCCACATAGCATCCTACTGAGTTTCTTGATTTAGCTAGAAGATTTCATTATATATATTTATATTTTTGGGCTTCATTGAAGTGCGAACTTCAAACCCTCAGTCTTAGAGTTAATTTCAGTACTATTGAACTAACAACTAATAGATAATTTCAACTCAAAAATATAAAAAAATTGCATATATATTTCGCAAGTTATCTAATCAAATCTTCCAAAATTATTATCATGTATGATAATTGCTATATTTCATAAGTTATTTTGTAAAAATCATCACATATATAGTAAGTTACATAAAAAAATTTCTTAACAATGTGAGCATATGTAATGTTCGTGGATTTAAAAGGATTGTTATATGCACATTGCTGCGTTTGATAGTTGCTCGTGTCAATTCAAAAAAAGACAAGAATCAGTATTGCCTAGTGTTTTATGGAGAGAATAAGTCCAAAGACATCATGCATATTGAGAGATGTCCTCCCATGCTCTAAACGAAGATATACAAAGACTTCTGAAAGCTGAACCAACAGTTGCCAAGCACAGATGATTTACCCTGTTGAAAACACCAATGGAACCTGTGGGATTCCAGAAGAACAAGTCAATCATGACTTGGAGGCTTTTCTTCTTCTCACCTCACCGCCGGTTCTCTTCAACAACATACCCACAACTCAATCATGTATTATGTTTACTTTTATGATTATCTGTTATATTTATCTCATATGCACTAACATAGTCTATTTGTTCCAGATTAAATTTGATTAACGTCAAATTAACGAGTAATTATAACAGCATCGATTTTCATAATTAGTAATATTATTTTATTTAAATATGATCTCGATTTTCATTCTATATATACGAAGATGACTCATTAAATTTCGTAACTTCAATTTGAAACATCAGTTCTCTCCCTTTCTTCTTTTAGGCAAGCACCGAGAGATCCGAAGGCACCATCGGAAAGCACAATATGACAGCTTCAATTTTGGGGGTCTCGATAACGTTGATTTTACCTCTCATCCACGTTCATGTCAACAAAACCAGGGGGAAAAGACCAGCTAATAAAGAATTGATGCCTCAGCTTCCCAGCTTCATCCGGTCTGAAAAGCCATGAAAATTTCCAAACGAAAAAAGATCCTTCCAATTCAATCAGAACCAAAATGCATGAACAGATGAATTATAACAATAATAAGATGCTATTTGGGAAGTTCACCGTTATTACAAATCATTGTTAGTAAACGGTACATTGCAGATAAAATAATTTTAAACATTATCCGATGAAATAACACGAAAATGATGAAAAATATATGAAATTAATATAATTTAAAATTTAAAAAATAATAAAAATATAATTTATATTTAATATCTAATAAGAATTATAATATAATAAATTTTTTTTATTTTACACATATTTTAATGCAAAATAAACACAACACAAATTCATAACTTATCACATTCACATTTCAATCATTTAAGCTCATTTTGGATAGCAACGCATCTCTAATCCAGATGTAGTTGCTATCAAAAGGTCTGCCCACCGACCATTATCATTTGGCACCCAATTGGTCTTTCGGTGCAATTAAAAAAAATCCGTCATCAATTGGTCATTTTTTGTTTAGTTGATGACCGATCAATTTTTTTTTCCTTTTCATTTTTATCTTTTTAATTATATTATTATATCGAAAATGTTCCTATAATTTTTATTTTGATATTTTTATTCAAAAATTATAAAATAATTTAATTAATTTAATACAATAAATAAACTTTATAAATAATACATTAATAAATATTTTAAATAAATTTTATTATTTATTAATAAAATTTATAAATATTAAATAATTTAAAATTTTATTATATATAATTTTTACTTTAATATTTTTAATGATTATTTTTTAATTATAATTTATTTCTCTGACAACGTTTATTTTAAATGCATATCGTATTATTGATTATAATTTTATTATTATAATAATTAATTTTAATTTTATCAAAATTAATTTTACCATTAATTCAAAAGATGCTTCACTGATTGAGTAAAAAGAATCTTGTATTTTCTCTGTCATCGTTCTAATCTCTCGTTTCTCTTTACCTTTCTGCTTCTTCCTCTGTTTTCTCCAATTCTATCTTCTGCAACTGTCTGTTATTAAAATTCTATTTGAGCTCCATCAACTTGTTTGTTAGACGTACAACAGACTTCAATTATCTCCACCTAAAACCTCAAGCCAAGTTGGCCTATATGTTGACAGATTTCCCCTTTTTCTTTTCTTTCTCTTTCTTATTAATTTCATCTTCAGGACAGCATATTAATTGGAATTGGCATGTTGGCAATGCAAGACCGTGTTTAGTTCTAAAGAAAAACAAAAAAAAAAAAAAAAGGGAAAACGCTGTCAAAAGTTGGCCTTCAATCCTTCCATTAAGTCGATGCTGATATTTTGTAGTTTGATTGTAACTAAGATGTAAATGATACATTAATATTAGTAAGTTATTTGGGTTCGATTCGAATAAAATTTAAATTTGATTCGATTATTCTCGAGTCGAGCTCGAGTTCGAATAGTTCGATTTATCGATCGAACTAAATTTGAATATTTTTATACTTAGTTCGAGTAGTTCACGAGTCTAATCGAGCTTTTATATTTAAATTTTTTTTATTATTTTAATTAATAAAATATCTTGAATTCGAGTTCGAGTACAAATAATCGAACTCTTATCGAATATAAGAATCGAACTTATTTTAACATATTAATCGAGCTTAATTAAACGAGTTCGAGTAGTTCGATTTCGATCACGAATCGAACTTGAACTAAAAAAATGAAACTCGATTGAGTTCGAGCCGAATATCAAACCTCAGTTGAGAGCCGAACTCAAGCTCAAGCTTCTTACTATATCGACTCGACTCAGCTTGATTACACCCCTAATTGTAACCACGTCCGTTTCTGCAAGCAAAATGACCCAATTAGTATTTCTTTAAAAAAAAATCACAATTTGAAATATAAAAAAAATTATAGATATGTAAATTTAAATATTAAATTTACAAAATACTTATAAATTAATTACATTAAATTTTAAATTATTATTAATTATTTTATATTATTTAAAATGATCGATAATTCGATTGTTGATTGTTTACTATACATAAGAATTTAAGAAAAATGTTATTAATTTTTGTCATGTTTGTTGTAAGTAATTGAAATCGAACAGTCGAAGTTGAAAAATAAGCATTGTTGTTCATTTTATGCTTTCCCTCTTTTAGAATGGTATGGTTGGTTGGTGCGTTATTAAAAAAAAAACAATTCAGATAGCATTATAGGATATTTCATTGATTTTATCCTTTTGTTACCCCCTCATTTTTCTGCACATTTATTTCATTCATGGGCATGTTATTATCTTGAGATTAACATTTTGGTCCGCTCAAAAAACTTATGCTTCAATTGCTCATAGTCACAGTCAAGTCCTTGCTATAAGAGCTATTAGAGTTTTATATATTCCAATGGAATATTTTGATAATAAGCATGGATAAAAAAAAGGGATTACGGATATTATAATTTAAATTTTAAATTTATTAAATATTATTTTTTTGAAAAAAATTTGTATGAATCAATTAAATTTATTTTTGAATTCAATTTAATTTTACAATTTAAACTTCATATTCGAAATGTTAAAATAAAAAATTGAAATTTATGTGATAAGATAAAGTTATCTCAAATATATATATATATATATATAATCTAATTCCTACCAACTTCATTAATAAATTTGTTTTTACTTTCCACACAAATAACTTTTATTTTTTTTTTTTGATAAAAAAATTCAAAATAAATAGATTATTCAATTCTTCAAGTCAAAGTAAAATATGTTGTATTTAACCGTTTAAAAAATATGATTGCAAATCATACATTCGAAATAATTTCAACAAGTAATCACCGAACAGTACTCGAATCTAAAATTTTTTAATCTAAAAAGATAAATCTTAACTAATTGAACCAACCATTTATTAGTCAAATAACTTTTATTTTGATTATACTAAATAAGCCTTAATGATTAAGGTTAATGCCATTAATCTAGATTGCTTTGATTTCATATTTGGGAGATATTTTAAATGATTGTGGCCTAGCTCAAACTGGCAAATGTTGTTTAATAAAACAACTAATGAATGACATGAGTCAATGTCAACATCAATAAGGACAAGTTTGATAAGCAACCTTTTGAGAGTTTGCTTTCATCAAGAAGCAAATTTGAATTATATTTCCTAAATTTTGGTCATAAAATAATGAATTAAACCCAATGCAAACTTGTGATTACCTTGAATTATGATTCAAATCTTTCAAAACTTCTTGCTAGAATAAATCTTTATAAATTCATTATTTAAGATCATAAAATTGTCAAATTTCTTTGCTGATTGCTGGCATTTAGAACATTCATATTCAATACAAAATTTTTTTTTGGAAGAACAAGGATTTAAATTAGTTGCCAATGAGTTTTTGGTTTAATGGTAAGGAAAATGTTTTAAAATCTTAATGTTTTAAATTCAAATTTTATTGTGTATAAATTTAATTGCTTAAGTAAATAATAATTTATTAATTAATTATTTAATGATATAATAATCGATTATATAAATATAATATTTGATTATAAGTGTTATTTAAAAAAAAATTTAACTCATTTTTTAAGATTCAAATACTTATCATGAAATCAAATATTTAGATGTGTCAACTACAAATGTTGATTTTATAGTTGAAGTAGTTAAGGTAAATATTGGTAATAATAATTTAATAATCAATGATAGCCATTTTCCACTTTAAAAGATTACACTGTTCAAAACCCATGTTACTATGGCACTACTCTACTTTAATCAAATATACTTACCTAACCAAATAAAGTCAAGGTTCACAATCAAAATCGAACATAATAGCTTGATCATATGAGATGGACTAATGAATTTTTAATGAATTTATTAAAAGTTAATTTAAATTTTTATATCATGGGTACCTTTTTTTTTTTTTAGATAAATGGTAGTTTTATTTATATATATTATTTCACTATTATTTACTAATAGAGTTAATACTTAATGAGCTAATGTAATGAATGATTCTTAAATTATAAATATTTAATATAATATTTGAATTATAAATATATTAATTAATATAATATTTAAAAAATTATTTTTTATTATATAAAAAATAATTAACATATTAATTAATAAATTTATAATTTAAATATTATATTAAAAATTTTTAAAATTAAAATATCACATTAAATTTTTACTATAATTCAGAATAATTTGGGAGTTGATGTTCATGATAATAGGGTTAATTAAATCCTATCATCAAGAATAATACCCTATCATGATGATAAGGCTAGCTAGGCATTTTAGCAATTGGTTTGGAGTGCTCATGAAAGGTCGCTATCAGCCTATCATCCGAATGTTACCCAGTTGCTAAGAAACAACCATTTCGGGTCCCAACCCCACAACAGATGATCCAATAACTCTCGCTTAAGTTTTGGTCATTGGTGCCATTAATTTGGTGCTTGAAATAATTGACATGCAAAATATCATTTCTGATAGAATTTTAAGTTGGAGTCACTTTTCCAATAATAAAATCAACCACCTTTATTGATAAAAATGATTGATGTGCGAAATTAAAATTGTTCTTTAATAGTAAAATGAAATGAGAGTTCAGAAATCACTAGATTGTTGAAAGGGGGGAATTTTTTTTTTTTTTTTGTTGGGTTTGGTAGAAAAGGGTTTAGTTTGAAGTCACTCTTGGGTTGAATTTTTCCACCCAAAAACATCTACAACAAAGAAATTAGGTCAAGGTTTCTAGACGTTCACTTTGTTTGCAATTGAGAGCAACTTTGGGTTTTATTCTTTGTTATTACTACTAGGGGCTGTAAAATTTTTTGAACAGCTAATAACGAATCATATTAAGCAAGAATTCTTCTACATAGCATAAATCTCAACCTTAGTAACTGAACCCCATCAAAATTTTCTTGTAAACATGAAAATCAATAGCCCTTACCGTCCTTGCATGCATAAACCACCGGCAGCCAACAACCAAAGATCGATGGACAAGAATCCCTTCTATGTCCAAACTTTCCAGAAGGAAAACAAATAAAATGAATGCCTTCGTATGCCACCAACAATAAGAACATGTTTTCCAGCAAGAAGATTGTGATACTCCATCGGTAACCCTGGAAAATGGATCCAAGCAATAATGTTCTTTATCTTGTCAGTATGGTGCCCATAATCCGCTGATTATCCAAGCATGTCTGTAATCTGCTTTCAACTCGAACAAAAAATAATCATCGCATAAGTCCATGATCCCTCCAATAGCCACAATTGCTTGACTCTAGCAGAAAGAGTATGAAAGGTAAGAACCTTCCCATGTTATTTAACAATTAAGGCTTTCCGCCAAGGTTTCCTTATCTCAGGTTTTTTCCTCCTTAGAGAAAGAGAACCGCAAGTCATGTCCCAATTCATATGTTCATCATATGATATGGAATCCACAAAATGCATGCATGTCCAGCTTGATCAAGGCAGTCATCCTTCCAATCATCCCAACAAGAACTAGGGTATCGATCTTTCATGTTAGCATATCTCTTCCCTCAATTGCACATTTCTTAAGATTCAAAGTTTCATAAGATTTTTAAAAATTATCATCAAATTACAAGATTCTATCAACTTTACATTATTAGGGAAATCAATTTTGTTTATGTTTGTGCCGAGCTCCGATTTAGGGGCGTTCTTAAAAAAATAGAAGAGGAGCAATAAGAAGTAAAGACAAGGTATGTTCTTCGCATTTACACTTTAATGTGCAAATCAAGCAGAATGAGGTCGCGAAGAAAATAAAAAAAAAAAAAATGGGTCTAAGATTAATTTACTTCAGTGGTGTCTGAATTTTTATATCTATAAGTGAACAATAACATATTATCAAATGATAATAAAGACAGTATAAAGATAATATGACACTGAGTATATCAAATTGATCTAACATATCAAGTCAATATAAATAATAAAAATACTTCTAATTGTCCACTAAAAACTTTTTAAAAAAAAATCATTATGCCTATTTGACAATCAAATGCCTTCAATAATTAAATAAAGTTTAAATTTTATAAAATATCCACTCACAAAAGTCACAATTTCCCAATTGCAACAAAGTAGTTGCTTAATCAAATTTATTTAAAATTTGAAAATGTAAGAAAAGAAAGATATATGAGTAATTGTAAGATCTATTTGAGAGTTCGATTAAAAATTCAACTACAAAATAATGAGAATCTTTCATCTTACTATCAAACGAAGCCTTAAATGGTAAGTGTACAAAATTTTCAGATCCAAATCCTTTCCTACTTCAAGTTGACAAAAAAAATGGAAGAGAAAGGAGTTAGATACATCTCATTTGCCAAGTGAGGACAATTATTTTTCTAAGTAGTTGATATTTTGCCGTCCTCTTGTCTAAAAACTACAAATGCCGGTCTTGGAGGGCTAGAAGTCAAGTCATAGACTTAACCTTTTCTTGGCGGCCTTTTGACATTTCACTTGGGAAAACCCCAGTTTCAAAGCACAAGGTTTTAATGGTACCTTCCATGTTTTTTTTTTCTATTCATTTCAACAACCAATTGGGTCTCCAAGTGGACAACTCTTGGTCAATTGTCATTATTTTAATTATTTTGGTTCTTGTATTTGATAATTTTATCTAAGTTTATACATCCAATTTACATAAGCATACATTGCAAAAATTTTTTTTTATGTCAATTGCTTTGTGACATGGCGTTACGAAGTTATGTCCTGATTCAATGTCTTGATTATAGAATGTAGATAAGAGTTTTTTTTATAGGATTTATTATTGTCCTTTTAAAAAAAAATGTAAAATCAACTTTTATTATCTATTTTGTAACTTTTAAAAAATATGAAAATGCAAAAAATTCACAATATAAGCTTACAAAACAAAAAAAATTATAAAAGATATTACAATTTAGAGATAAAAAAATGATTACAAACGTTAAATTTTAAATAATAAATTTATTAAATATCATGTATTAAGAATAATTATATAAATTAATTAAATTAAATTTTAAATTCAAAAAAATTTATTATTAGATAAAAAATGCTAATATTATAAAAAAATTATGATATGATTGAAGTATTAGCTAAAAACTAAAAAACTTGTAACCTCATATTGAACTCTTTTTATTATTATAAGAAACACAAAATAATTATTATTAGAAATAAAATTTAAAAAATTTTAGTAATTATTTTTTTCCTTTCTTCCTCTTTCAATTAACCATATTAATTTCAAAGTCAATTTCTACGGTTGTTTAGACCTAATTTTAATTTTGAAATAATGAAACAGTTACTTAGAATTTCCATAACAATACTACAATCAAGAAAAATATTTTGATCAAATTAAACTATTTCTTTAGTTGATATAATTAATCCATTGACTCTAATCAATTCTTGATCCAAAATCAACATTTGCTTAAAAAAATTATAATTATTTTATTATAAATCGTTAAAAGTAATGCAACATAGCACAAGAAATAAAATAAAAAAATGATTAAATTAAATAAAACAATGTCATTTTCAGTTCTCCTCTTTGGACTGCCCACTTCAAGTTGAAGATAACACGGAAACTATCAGAAGAACCAACCAATTTTACAATAAGAAAAACAACAAAAGTGAAGAATCAGAGAAACAAAGGGACAAACATTTTTTTTTTCTTCTGATATATAAGGAGAAAAACAAGGAAAAAAACAGGGGGAAAAACAGAGGAAAACGGGCGGAAAATGGCAGAGCAAGGAACAAGATCAAAGCTTTCAGCTCCAACACGTCCAACAATAACTTTACCACCAAGGCCAGCGATGGATGGCTTATTTTCAAGTGGTTCAGGGCTAAGTCCAGGGCCTATGACACTGGTTTCGGCTTTTTTCTCTGACCCTGACTCAACAGATCATAGGTCTTTTTCTCAGATTTTAGCTGGAGCCATGGCTTCACCTGGAGCTATATTACCTTACAATTCAATGGATGGTTCATTTGTAGAAGTGGGTTTTAAAGATGGAGGTGAAAAAAGTCCTGGGTTTAAGCAAAGTAGACCTTTGAATTTGGCTGTTGCTAGGTCCCCTTTGTTCACTGTGCCTCCTGGGTTAAGCCCTTCTGGCTTGCTTAATTCTCCCGGCTTCTTTTGTCTTTCTCCTCAGGTAAACTGACTTAAATTATTATTATTTTTAATTATGGGTCTTCTTTTTCCTTGGTGTTAAATAGAGAGAGAGAGAGAGAGAGAGAGAGGATCTGCTTTGTTTTCTCTGGGCGTGGGGGGGGGGGGGGTTATCAAGAGCTAATAGAAGCTTATGGTTATGTCTTTAAGCCATTGAATTGGGAATCTTGTGATCAACTATTTGATCTGTTGAGCAGCATGATCTGTTTGGTGAAGGATGTATACGTTATTTATGTATTTTCTTCTTTTGTGATGAACTCTTATGGCCTGCATCGAAACTGAACTTTGGGTTTAGCATAAGATGTTGAACAGTTGAGAATTGTGAACTCCTTTTGCAAAAATGTAATTCGTTGGTTATTGTTTCGAATGTTGCTCGAGAAATTAGTACCGAATCTTGAATTGACACATTGAAACTTGTTGCTAATTACATAAGAGTTGGATGGAATACCATTTCACATTTATGGTCTAAATGCAGATGTGTGCGTATTCCCTTTCACATCAGCCTTCTCCTTCTATACAGAACTCATGGTATTATGTCAAATATAGCAATTTAGCCCAGAAGTTGAAAAAAGGAATGATTGCCATTAAAATCTTAGTTTACTATGTCACTTGGTGCCATGTTGATGGCTATCAATCTACAATATCCATATTCTTATTTTGATGATGATCAAACTTTTGTACTGTAATTTGTGCAGAGTCCTTTTGGAATATCCCACCAGCAAGCATTGGCACAGGTTACAGCTCAAGCTGCACTAGCCCAATCTCAAGTGTGTGCACAGACAGAATATCAAACTTTGTCAGTTGCAGCTCCTTCAGAGCCATTGACTCGTCATCCATCCTTCAATCCTGAAGGAACTTCACAGCAGATGCCTCCTTCAGTCTCTGACCCTCAAAGTTCTGCTATGGAACACACAGAAGGTTCTCAATCTGATAGGAAAAATCAGCCTTCTGTTGCTGTGGATAAACCTGCTGAAGATGGCTACAACTGGCGTAAGTATGGGCAGAAGCCTATTAAAGGCTGTGAGTATCCACGAAGCTACTATAAATGTACACATTTGAATTGCCCTGTCAAAAAGCAGGTTGAGCGATCAGCTGATGGCCAAATAACTGAAATTATATACAAAGGTCAACACAATCATGAAAAGCCTCAACCAAATAAACAAGCAAAGGGTGTTAGTGATGGAAATGCTAATGCACAGTCTAACCCTGAACTAGGTTCTCAGGGTGTAGCTGGAAATTTCAACAAATTAAGTGAAATCGTACCAGCTCATTCCATTCCTGGGAAAAATCATGAATCTACGCAAGCTGCGGAATTACCTGGATTAAGTGACAGTGAGGAAGGATGTGATGAAGAGAGTAGAGAAGAAAGAGATGATGGTGATGAACCAAATCCAAAAAGAAGGCAAATTTTTAATCAATTGTAACTGATCATGCAAATTTGTATTTCTTCAATCTTCATAGTTTTGAGAGCATTTTGCTTTTGACTGCAGGAATAGTGCGGGAGAAACTGCAGTAGTCTTGTCACACAAGACAGTCACAGAACCAAAAATTATTGTGCAAACAAGAAGTGAAGTTGACCTTTTGGATGATGGCTATAGGTGGCGCAAGTATGGGCAGAAAGTGGTCAAAGGGAACCCTCATCCAAGGTGCTGTGGATTATATATATGTTTGTTTGTCTATGGTACTAATGATTACATCATGGCATGAATTTTGTCTATGGTTCTAATGATTACATCATGGTATGAATTCCGGTGCTGCACGTATTCTTGTTTAATTAAATTTACAGTTGCCTCTCTGCTCAAGACATTCTAGTATTCATTCTTACAGCATTTCTCTCCTTGTAAACTGAAACTTTTCTAATTGATAGTAGAGAACTCTACAACCATTCCAAGATAAATAAAATCTACATCTAATAATGTTTTAGCACTATTATAAACTTCCGAGTGCTTGACAATGGCAAGATATATCTTAGAATTGATCTTTAAAAGTAGTATGATCTAATTTCTTGGAGCATTTCAATACTAGGCATAAACTCCTAGGACTGCTAATCATTGTGACCGTTGTCTTTCTTGCGTTTAGACTTAATAAATTAATGAAAGACCTTGAGCATGCATTTTATAGCAAAAACGTTTCACAATTGTCTGCCATCAGTAGATATTGGCTAGATTTTCTGCTAGACTGGGCTACCATACATGCCCAGTTTCACTAAGTTTTTGTGCATATTGGCTGAAATTTTTTGAAGATAAGAAACTTAAAATGGAGAGATAACCTTTTTCCTTTTCTGCACAAAGAATCCATCAAATTGCTAGACCATAGTTTTGCATCTCAACCACAAATGCCGAACTAAGCCCAAGTTAAAGGAATTCATGTGGCAGAAGAGACGGTACCATCAGTAAATTCGTCTTCCTGTTTTGCTTGTTAAATATTGTTTATTGGATAATGATTTGATAAATGCAGATGTAGCAGTAATGCTGATTTCTTGTTGCAAATGCATGTGATAGTGTGAATTAATCCATTTATTTGTTGTCATTTATACTGTGACTAAGTTTATTATGACATGCCGAGTCTAATTTATCATTTTATAGCCTTTTTTTTTCTCCATGTAACGTACATATTGTAACAACTACTTCCGGTTGAATTGCTAACAACTATTGGTGGTAACAAATATTTGATGCTTGTTTTACAAAAAATTTTTAAAAAAATTATGGGTTTATGAAGGGCCTCTGATCTAATCCCACCTTCAAAGAGAAGGTGGGAAGGAGAGTGCTAACCGCTCATTGTGTTGGAAAACACTTGAATCATTGTTACCTGTGGTATTAGGAATTGATCTAGTATGTCCTGCCTATATTGGTTTTGTTTTCGAGTTGCTGTCCCTCAATCACAAGTTGTTTACCTTTTTGGGATTATTTCTGATGCATCTAATTTATTCCGACAGGAGCTATTACAAATGCACAAGTGCAGGATGCAACGTTCGGAAGCATGTGGAAAGAGCTTCAACCGATCCCAAAGCTGTCATAACGACGTACGAGGGAAAACATAATCATGATGTCCCAGCAGCTAGGAACAGCAGCCACAACACAGTCAACAATAGTTTACCTCTGCCAAAACCACAAAGGGTGGTGGCTGAGAAGCATTCTTTACTTAAAGAGACGGATTTTGGAAACAATGCCCAGGCACCAGCAGTTTTAAGGCTAAAGGAGGAGCAAATAAGAGTGTAACTGCCCTGCTAAAACCTGTTAAGTAACAGGAGGTTCGGCTGCTGATCCCAGCCAACTAACACGGTTATGAAATGAATAAGGCAGAAAGGGTAAAACAAACGTGATAAAATCAAATGATAATAGCTGCTGAACTATAGTTTTATTAACTAGGAATGCTTTATTGACTACCCAGTTTTGTATATTGGAATTCGTAAGTAATGTTGTATATTTGTTTACACTCTATTGGAGAAGGTTATATATGTTAGGTGTTGTTCAAGTTGCCAGGCTTGTTGCTGCCGGCATTGATTTATACGATGTAGATTCAGTTAACAACAAGAAGCATTTTGATATAGAGGCCAAGTAAGTAATTCATAAACCGGGGACCCTCTTATCCGTCAATGGCAAGGTTTTCTAAGCGTTTTGATATAGAGGCCAAGTAAGTAATTCATAAACCGGGGACCCTCTTATCCGTCAATGGCAAGGTTTTCTTGGAGGTTTATGGCAATAGATCTGCTTTATACTTCTATTTCCACATTATCCAATTCTTCATGTTTGTTTTTCAGATTGGAATGTCGGTGACATCTCGATAACTTTGTTTTCCATTGCCTTTGATTTTATATAAATGTGTTTCAGATCAGATAATGGTTACTTTGCCATGCTTTTTAACGTTTTCTTTTCTGTCATTGTAACCAAGTTTTTATCGACCTATCGGGCATTTTTTATTGCTATAATCGCCTTTTAAGTAGATCTGGAAACTTTAAATAAGCTATAATGACAAGATATAAAAATGATACAAAAAGTAATATAAAAATAATATAATTTAAAATTTTAGTAAAAAATATATATAAAATATGTAAAAATAAAAAAATATATATATTTTACACGTGATATATCAATATAAATTATAATATAATAATTTTATATTTTACACATTTTTAATATGAAATAAATATTATATAAATATACGAATTATCGTATCTACTTTTAAGATAGCGATAGAGCTTAAAAATTTTTTGTGATTTCTTACTATAAATCTAACTTAAAAATTAAAAAAAAATTATATATTGGTAAGCAACTTTGGGATAGAGGAAGGAATTTTAGATACTAAAATTAAAATTTAAAATTTATTGAATATTATCTTTTAAAAATTATTGCATAAAAAGATTTGGATTCACATTCTTTAATACATTAATCAATAATATAAACAGCTTGGTCAGGATTTTAGGTATCCAAAGTTGGAAGGTCTCTGTGAAAAAATGTTAAAAGTGTGACCACATGTACCAAATTTGGTCCAACAAGCCCATGGTTTCACTTGTAAGAAACCAAAAAGCTGACTATTGTTTCAACCCAAACTCCAACAGACAAATTGATTGTTGCTTTCTCCTCACATAATTTGACAATAAGGCCCTAACCCCCTCTTTTTTATGGAACATAACCCCCTCTCAGAAAAGATGGTTTCAACCATTTCATCTTCCATGATGTTTCAAACTTTTAGGTCAAGCCTATGCTTTTCAGTCAGCTGGCTGCATTGCCTTTTAGACCTTGCTTTATTAAATTCTTTCCCAAAAATTACTACTAATTTCCAATGTTGTATGTATATTTGAAAGAGATTCAAATCTCCTTTTTTTTAAGTTATGGACATTTGTATTAACTATTAAATCAAATAAAATTTGGGATTTAGTTTAAATAATTTATTATTTTTTAAGAAGTAAATTTTAATAAATCTAGATTCGATAATCTTATGCATACAATTTTTTTTTAATTTTTGAATTTTTATATAAATAAATGATTAAATTAAATACGCGAATACATATATATTCAAATATCTTATTTTGAATTCAAATTAATTACTTATTTAAATGAAGTGTACTAACTCCTTTAGCTAAAGGTTTTTGAATCAAAATTTTGTATTAAAAGATACTTAGAAGACTGCAACATTGGTTAAATGCTTTCCCTACTATTTTAGTAATTGTTTCTTTAGAATAAAGTATGGACCCGTTAAATGATGTAACTGCAAATCCTTCAAACACTTTAAAACAGAATTCCAAGGCACCCTTTAACTCACTTAACTATAATAATTAGTAATCATCACCACTTAATCCTCCTAAATGATTCAAAGATTGATTAATCAATTATCGAACTTAAACCACATTTCTTCACAAGATTGCAAGCATTGGAGCTATTGGAAGTTGGAATAATTGGCCTAAAATTGTTTAAATTTTGTAATTTATATATACGTGTAAATTTATTTTATATTTAATATCAATAAAATATAAAAATTATCGTATAATAATTCGTATAAATATATTAAATATAAAATATAGTTTTTGAATTTTACCTGTCTCGTTCAAAACAGACAAAGGTAATTCTTACCATGTCAATTATTGAGCCGACAAATAATGATGTTGTCTAACATTTTGATAGGTCGGATCTATGTTTGTAGAAACTGGATAGAAGCGGTCTGTTCTTTTTTCTTTTTTTTTTATGCTGTATATCAATGAAAACCAAATTCAACAAACAGAAAAACAAGAAACATCCAATGGTTACGTTTATAACCTTTTGCAAAGACAAGAAACCACCATTCTAACAATAAAAGATGTGTCATTATGGACCCACGAATCTCTTTTCTTTTCTTTTCTTTCTTTGGTGTTCTTCTGTTCCCTCCGCAGATCTCGCAAACAAAGACCAAGACAGACAGACAAAAGAAAAACAACAAAACTCTGTTTTTATTTTGTTTCCCCTGTTTTTCCTCTGTTTTCTTCTTCTCTGCAAGTCTGTTTTTGCCCTGTCTCTCTATGTTTCTCCCTTCTTTTCCAGATTAAATGCTTACCCTTTTGGTCTAATGTGGGGATGATTTCCAATTTTTGACCCAGACCTTTTTTTTTTTTCTGATCTGGGTCAATCTTGGTTTCCAGCTAAATGGGTTGCATTACATCCAAACAAGGTGGCACTGTGGTGGCAGCCTCCCCTGTTTCTGTGGTTCACAACAACAGTCATGGTTTGATATTTGCTTCTTCTTCATCCTTAAAACGACAATCTGCGAGGTTAGAGATTGATAGAGATGATGAGAAATTGTATGAAAGTGGTAAAACTATTAACCATAATCACCGGAAGAGAAGCCGTGATTTGAGGAAATCAAAGAGGGAGAGTTCTGGTAGGAAGAGTGGTTCTTTTAGCTTCAAATTAGGCTTTTCACATAGGCTTGTGGAGGCTGAACAGGTTGCAGCCGGGTGGCCTGCTTGGCTCAGCTCAGCTGCTGGTGAAGCTGTACATGGTTGGGTGCCTTTGCAGCCTGATGCTTTTGAGAAACTGGAAAAGGTAGCTAAGATTTTCCCATCAAAATGACTTGGAAGTAGAATTTTATTAATCATGTTTTCTAACCAAGTGCATCTTATTTGAAGTTGGTATGTTTAATTGTCAATTGCTGTCATATTTGGAAGCTAGTTGTCACATTTCTAAACATCCCTTTGTTTCATATAAGTTCCACTGATCAAGGTACATTTTATTTTCTGAAACTGTTGGTTGAATGATAGAATTATCCATTTGAAAATGAAAAAGGGAATGATAACTTAGTTCAAAGAAGAAATATATACCGAAGGCTGTGGATAGGGGAAGTCAGACCTATTTGATACCACCTCTTAAGGATGACTGCATGAACCAAGCAAGCTAAGCTACGGGATCATGAATATTCCTTGTTTAAAGTATTAGAATATTAGGAATAGTCATTGTTTGACTAGTTTGCTAAATTGAGCTGACTAGTAAATTATAATTACAGTTTGCAGCAACAATGGATACCTTGTTTGATGTACAAGCAAGCTAGATCTCTTGCAGTGTCCAAACATGAAGTCAATTATACTCATTGTGTCATTTTCTTTTTTCTTATTTTTGGGATGCTAAGTGGGTCAGTGGTCATCATTTGGTTATTGCCTCAATCTTGATTTTGACAAGAATTCTTTTCAATCCCTAATATTCATGTAGATTGGACAAGGTACATACAGTAGCGTATTCCAAGCTCGCGAAGTTGAAACTGGGCGGATGGTTGCCTTGAAGAAAGTGCGGTTTGACAACTTTCAACCAGAAAGCATTAGGTTTATGGCACGAGAAATAACAATTCTACGCAGGCTTGACCATCCAAATATCATGAAATTGGAAGGGGTAATCACATCTCGGTTTTCAAGTACTGTTTACCTTGTATTTGAGTACATGGAGCATGATCTTGCTGGATTATCTTCTTGTCCTGATATCAAGTTCAGTGAGGCACAGGTTTGTTTTGTATCTTATGATCAGTTTGAAAAAGCATAGATCTTGGTTGTAGTTGAAACTCAAGCGTAATATTATGTTTTTTTTTTTTTTTCAGAATGTATTAATTCGTGATCATGATATCTTTTCTTCAATTCTTCAATGTTTAAGAAGTTCAGTTTCGGTTCCTTTCTGTGCAGGTGAAGTGCTATATGAAGCAGCTATTACTGGGACTTGAGCATTGCCATTTGCAAGGTATAATGCATCGAGATGTTAAAGCATCTAACATTTTGGTAAACAATCAAGGAATTCTGAAATTGGGGGATTTTGGATTGGCAAACATCCTTACTTCGAGGAACAGGCAACAATTAACTAGTCGAGTAGTGACTTTATGGTATCGCCCTCCTGAACTTTTGATGGGATCCACAAGTTATGAAGTCTCAGTGGATCTCTGGAGTGTAGGCTGTGTATTTGCAGAACTTCTTATGGGAAAGCCTATCCTCAAAGGGAGAACTGAGGTGATTGTGTTGTTATGTTGCATTACCCTCTTATATTAGCTGAATTATTTGACAGTCATATTTACTTACTAGGCAGCTCAAGAAGATTGGTTTCTCCTTCATTTGGCAGGTTGAACAACTGCATAAAATCTTTAAACTGTGTGGTTCCCCACCTGATGAATATTGGAAAAAGATTAGGCTCCCTCATTCAACCATGTTTAAACCTCAGCATCCTTATGAAAGTTCTCTTCGCGAAAGGTGTAAAGATATTTCTGCAAGTGCAATGAACTTGTTAGAAACTCTTCTTTCGGTAGAACCTCACAAGCGTGGGACTGCCTCTTCATCACTAATGTCTGAGGTAATGCCACCAAAATGATTGCACTTCAGTTCAGAATGCAGCAATTTCGTAGGTTCTGCAAGCTTGCCAATAGTTTTTTTTTTTTTTTCAACATTAATCCAAAATATGACTGAAATTCTTTCATTAAGACATTATTCCATCACTGTTAAAAATTTTAGCATGAGCTTAGTTTCCTGATTCCATGTTTATCTGTTGCCTTTCTTTCAGTATTTCCACACAAAACCCTATGCCTGCGATCCTTCAAGCTTGCCAAAGTATGCACCTAATAAAGAAATTGATGCAAAACAGCGCGATGAACTACGAAGGTGAAATTCTCACTCCTTGATTTGAGTCTCAGTTTAAATTAGTTGCATGCTTATAATTACTAAATAAATATCAGGAACCATGGAACTTTGAGACTGAGACTCAACTAATATGTAGGCAGTTATGAGTTCTGAAATTTGTTCATTTATAGGCCTATGGTGCTTCTGTGCTGCTGTAGTCTAACTATAAAGCCTATAATTTGTTTCTGGAGCAACTATGATTGATCCATTTTTTCGGTCTCATAAACATGATCAATCCTTTGTTTTCTTCTGTTGGGGAAAAAGAAAGAGGACAGTGTCGTTTAGTCCTAACACCAAATGGTCATGGATGTATCCTAGATGCAATATCTTATAAATCTGTCGATCAAGCAATTATGGAAAACAGGATGCTTGGATGTTTCATTAGCATGATTCCCTTTAATCATGTATCTTTATTCATTATAATTTCAGGAAGAAATCTGGATCTAGAACCCGAGATTCTGGAGTATCGAGAAAAACAAGAAGATCTCGTAAAAGTTTGCAAGAACCTAAAAATTTCATTAGAACAGCGCCGAAAGAGGTCTCTCTCTCTCTCTCTCTCTCTCCCAGAATGTGTGTGTGTATCTGGTGTTAAAGCAAAGAGCTAATGATTAGGTACTTTGATTAATATATGCAGGAGCTGCTAGACAATACTCAAGTTGCTAGTAAAAACTATGGTTTTACTGCAAATAATCCGAAGGGAAGAGAATGTACTGCTCATAGAGGGCATCTGAATTTATCGTTTGATACAAGGTCAGAGACTTCTCAAGTAACAACTGTATCTCAAGGTGATATTTCCACAGCTCCACCACCACTGACAGGACCAACCAGCTTTTCCTGGGCAAAGAAGCGAAAAGATTCCACATCTACACTTTCATACAATCAACTTTCTTCAATAAGTCAACTTAGTGATACAAATTCATCCAGCTTCACCTTTTCAAATTCTAATACCTTTAACCTAATAAAGCAAGAGAATCAAGATGTTCCTGAAGGTGTTTATACTAATTCCAAGGAGCTGAAGCAGCAGCGAACTCGATTGAATAGGTATGATTTTTCTGATGTAACTGATCAGCAGGTGCAAAACAAGTTTAATAGGTCAGATTTTTATGATGCAAGTGATGTATTTCATCAGGAAGAAGTAACTGCTATAAATAATAATATGGTAAGATCACAGGCAGCTTATGCATCATTAGTTGTTCTCAGTTTTCACTCATGAATAATTCTTTTGCTTACAGCAACAATTTTTCTTGTTATTTAACCATCAGGAAAAAGTTGGTTATTCAGGACCAATAGTAACAGAATCATATGATGTCGACGAACTCCTGGAAAGGAACGAAAATCAGATCCGGCAAGTAGCCAGAAGATCAAGGTTTCATTGAGGTATGGCAAAGCCATGTTTCTGCATTCCATTGTCTAAAAATATTATGTCTAATGACCAGCAAAACTGATGGAATTTTGTTTTTTTGGTTTTGGCAGAGAAATGAAACAAGGTTTTCTTTCTAAGAGTGGACGATCCCTTGGTATGGCCGAAATGCAAAGTAGGCAAGGCTTTCCAGCTTGCAAACCTTGAACATATATAATCCATTGCCCTGTCCTTACATTGAGCTCAAACAAAGATCTGGTGCTACCTTTGTTTTGCATTTTTAGCCTGCATTTTGTGCTTAAAATCAATTGTATAAAAAAAATTGTATATTCCAAATAGCGCAACTTTTCATTGGAAAGGAAGAAATTAATCCTGAGCATGAAACTTGTTATGCCTTCCCTTTTCTGGTATCATATATTTTCTTTTTCTTTTTTTTTTTTAATTTAAGAAAGCAATATATTACTCAAACTGATTACAAAGAGAATTCGAGAGGGCTCTTGACCAAAATTTCAAATAGAATGTGAAAAAACAGGGCCAATCGACAACCACTCAAAGAACAGTCAACATCTCTTGCTAATTTCATTCTAAAATCTAATTATTTTACTTCCAAACTTTATTTATTTAACACAAATGCAAACTACGTATATTCTTAACGATTACTTTATAAAAATAACACTTGATAAAAACTTTAGAAAACATTTATTTTGATAATCTATACAAGGGATAATCCAGCAAGGAGCATCCATGTACTTTGGCTAATTATCTGCATATGCTTGGTGATTTTTTTTTTTTTTTGGTATAATGGACAATATTCATCCACACAAAACAGAGCAGGCCACAACCAGAATAAATCTATATTTATAAACAACTCAATAAACTAATTTCAATATAGGTTTAGATTTAAATGTTAAAGGTTAGAGAGAGAGAGAGAGATAATGGAAACTTAATCCTTTCACTGACTTTAAAAGGAATGCAGCAATAAATTAGAAAATATTTACCTATTTTACCAATTACAACAATGAACCCTCTTTTCCTTGCTTTCATTTATATTAAATCAAAACCCTAACTTCATCACAAAGAATTTAGGTGCTGAGAGAAGAATTCCACATTGAGAATAGGGAATGATATATGCAGGCAGTCATGTAGGAGGGACTCACACTCTAACCTCGGAAAAATAAGTTGATGAGACAACCAACCCCTCTGCATCATAAGTTCGAACCAGTCTCTGTCTCTTGCCAGGAGCCTCGAGCCAACAGAACTCCAAATGGAATGACTTGGATTCAGCTACACTCTTTGCAATATCAGAAGGGTATCCCATATACATACCACCAGGTAATAGTGCCAGCTGATATGCCCCTTCGAATTCAACTGAGTTATTTGAGATCGTACCCGTCCAACGTACGTTAGTCCTTACATCTTGTCCGCCATGCAAGGAAGTAACATCCTGATTGTGTATATGGAAACAAGGGGAAAAAAATAAGAAATGACCAAGAGTTTGATAATAACAAAACCAACTGTAATGAGTATCACCACAAACAAAAGGAGTAGATTATACATTAAACAATTCTCCACATGCACATTTTGGACTTGCAACAAGTGGCATTTACAATCCCAAGTTCAAAACAGAAAAAGGAAAATTTAAAGGCATAAAATTTTCCCTCATTTTAAAATCCATAAAAGAAAATAAGAGAACCAAGATGCAGCCCTTGCGTCTTAGAAGCACATGCATGTACTACAAAATGAACAAGATCTCATCGCTAACTTCACACAGACAACCTCTTGCGTCATCATATAAACAGTCAGGAAACTTATATAAATCAATTTCCACTTCAAGATTGCATGAATCTTACCTTTTCAAGAGAATGAATATTAGTGCTTGGGAACATTTGGAGAGATGAAGACATACCTGGATGAACTTATGCTTGTCATCCATTTCCAGTAATACAACTGTATCAGCTTCTGCCCTCGTGGATCCATAAACACCACTGCGCTTTGTTACAGAATGACCTTCCCACTTGCCAAGAAATGGTAAAATCCGGTCCTGTCCATCCTACAATCAGTAAAAACAATGTTTGATATACAAAAATCTTACAAAAGGAAGATTGATTTACTGTTAGTTCAAACAATGTGGTTGAAGATAAATTACCATCATATTGCCAAGCGATGGGTAAACAAGTGGCCTATCACCTCTATCCTCAAGGAAGATGACAAGCATATCCACAAAGCCTCTTGGATCCATGATATGAAATGCTCTCGCTCGTCTGTCCTTCTCTTGTGAATATAGGCAATTTTCACAAACAATGGAAGGCGAACGAGAAGGAAGCTTAAGATTTCTGTAAAGTAAAACAAATAGTTCTTTTAATTGAGTGCAACTGTGCATGCAAGTTGCATGATAGAAGAGAAAACTGTTAAACAGCAACCACTTCATGATATTTTTGTCCAGAAAGCACACTCATCATTTAGAAAATGGGTGATTGTGACATAAATCATTGATAGAATTAGCTAATCAACATTGTCCACAACTCCACTTGTTCATGCAAATTTGATACTCAAACAAGACCAGATTTAAGTATTTTTCTAAGCAACCCAATAGAACTGATATATCTATTTAGACTTTTACCGAAAAGATGTAGATCAGAAATAAAATATTGAGGAAATAGCTAATCACCCTTCTCTCCTGCCACTGTATCCAAGCAGGCCACTGCCCTAACACTAAAAACAAGCCACGAAGCAACCCTAGCAGACTAGCTTGAAGTGCAAGATAAGGCCCTGAGATAGTTGTAGGAAGACATTAAGGATGCCGGTCCCCCAAATTATCTAGCCAATCAGAAATATCCAAACAAACTTTTGACAACGTGACACATTTATAAGATGCCTTTGCAAAGGTTAGTAGAAAATTTCTTCAAAACTGGGGCAATTATACCATACATCATGCATTATGTATTACAGTTGGTTTTGTGTGTACTGGAACCTCAGACAAGACTCATTCAATATAACAACCACAACAAAATAGCATAAAACTAGTGTTTGAATCATCTGCACCAAATTCAGTATCAATGGCCTAGCTTGAGAGGAAGAACTGCTATTCTGGTTCTTCTGATTCTCTTGCCATGTCCAAATCATTCAATTGATAAAATGAATGCCTTCAAAGAACAGAAGCACTTACTTTGGTGATTCGTCTCCTGTGTCATCTTCTCCCAACACCCCTTGTCTTAACACAGTCTCTAACATGCCAGCAGTCTGGTACCTTAATGAGAAAGCCCTCTCTTTGGGAAAAAAGCAAATCTGCAGACTAAACATAATGGATATTCCAAGAAAAAGAATAACAAATCTAAAAGCTATGACATAATCGAAACAAAGTACCTTGAAAATCAACAAATTTGAAATCCTAAAATGATTGGAAAAGCTCACCTGTTGATTTTTGTCCACGGTGAACATATTTGTTTCTTTTATTTTGTATTCTGCCCATTCAGCTTCCTCATCATGTCCAGAAATTGAAGTACTTGATTGAGGCTGCTCAATGTACAACCTAAAAGGATACAACTTTGTTAAGCAACTTGGAAAAGAGAAATTAAAAAAAAAAAAACCATAAAAATCTACTAGCCATTACTAAATGGGTTTTCTTGATTTTTACATTGATCCAATGTAAGCTCCATCAAAGGGAAAATGCCTTTTGGAAATAAAAACAATAATACAACATCAACAACAACAAACTAAGCCTTATATCTCATAACTTTGGAGTTGGCTGTATGAAAGACCAAAAAAAAGAATTATGTTAGATCATAGTTTTGAATCTTCCTATGACACTCATTTCTATAAAAAACAACATTTTCACCTGTTTCCTTAACCCTCATATTATCTCTTATTACTTGCATCAATGACTTTCGTAGTCTATCTCTCGAAGCTTTAGTCTCTCTCAAATCCAAAGCTCATTTTTCCTAACTTGTGCATAATAGGCCTACATTTCACATGTCCAAACATCTTAAACGGCCCTCTCTCATCTTTTCCTCAATTCGAACTACCCTTAATTTTCCTTGAATTTCTTCATTTCTAATTTTGTCTCTTCTAGTCTTACCACACATCCATCTAAGCATCCTCATATCCGTTACACTCATTTTCTTTTCATGTTGTTTCTTAACAGCCCAATGCCTAGCCCTATATAACAATACAGGCCTTGCAGTTGTTTTATAGAATTTTGTCTTTAACTTGAAAAGCATGTTGCGATCGCACAATACACCCAACGCACTTTGCTTTAAAGTCATGTTACCACACTGCTGATCCCAAACCCGGATAAAGCAAGGAGAGTTGTGATAAGACAACGACCAACATAAAATATAATCAAACCATGATGAGAGATAAAAAAAAGCAATAATATTTTTAAATAATTTTAAATTAAAAGCTTTAACGTTAAGACTGACAAAATGCATAATTTTAATTTTATGCAAAGCAATTATTAAAGAGAAATTAATCCATCCATATCTGAAATTTTTACAATCCACAAGCGTGGTTAGTAAGTGACATATACTTTTAGAGTATTAAAAAAAAAAATTAATTAATTAGAAAAGTGAGACATATCTTTTAACTCTGCACTTGAAATTAAAAAACTCCACCATATAGAAATGTATGTCACATTTTAGCTATTTGTTCATTTTCACTTAAATATAGAATTATTTTTCGCCAAAGCAAAAAAGCAAACTGCAACTTTAAAAAAAAAAAAATAGTCATCAATAACATCATATAAACTTATCATAAAAAAATCATATAAACTTCAACAAGATAAAAAGAATTTACATTTCACCAAAAAAATAAACCTTTTAAAAATAAAATATTAATAGTAGTAGAAATTGAAAAGCTTACGTTTGAATGAGACTGATGAGTTCATCTTCTCCATAGGAACTAGCCGAAAGCCTCGTATTTATTTTTTGCAACAAATTTCCACTCCCATCAAATTGCTGCAAAATTCAAAAACTTTTTTGAATTATTCAAGAAATGATGATGATTAAAATTCATTAAGAATTAAATAATTACATGGAAAGAACCCGTCCATTTGCCCAAATTAAGGTCGAAAAACCGGTAGAGATCATCGATGCTCATGTGATGTTCTTCTTGGACCGGAGCCGAGTTTGCGGCTCCGAGTTTGGAGCTCCGAAAGGAGGGGAATGGGTTCGGGTTGGGAAGTTTTGGAAGGAAGGCGAATGGTTTGTTTGGATTTAGTGAATTGGAAGGGTAAAGAAAGGAAACGTAGGAGTAACTGATTGAAGCCATTCTCAGAGACGAAAAGGGACGAGCGAATGTCAATTGGAATGAGAGGAAGGTTAGTTCTTTAGTATCTTATCCGTTATGGATTGATTTTTTTTTTTTTCAGTTAATTAGTTTTTTTTTTAATTAAAATTAAAATTATATAAGCAGTACTCAAAATAATAATATCATGTATCTTTAATTTCAATGCTTCAAGATTAAAATTTTTATAATTTCAAGTAATAATAATAATAATAATAATATCTTTTGTTAAATTAATTTAAAACAAATTCTCGATTGTGAATTTAAATCTATTTAAATTGTTGACAACTTAGTATTAATTCAAATAACATATATATTATATATAATTTTTTAAGATTATGGATTTAAGAGTATTTAAATGCATAATATCTTTGAATTAAATAAATAAAGATAAATAAAAGGTTAAATACATATTTAACTATTGAACTTTAAAATTTTTATCACATTAATAGCTAAATAATTTTTTATCACATTGGTATCTAAACTTTCAATCATTATCACATTGGTAATTCATATTAACATTATTAATCTACTTTGCTAACGTATTATTAATATTTAATAAAATATTAAAAAATATTAAAAATTTTAGTCAATATCATATCATCAATGTCATGTTAGCATGAAAAAAATTTAGAAAATATTCTAAAAATTCTTTAAAAAATTTCTAAAGAATTTAAAAATATTCTAAAGAAATTTAAAATTATAGAAATTCAAAAAAAAATTTTAAAAATTCTAAAAAATTTTAAACTTTTTTAAAAATTTAAAAAATTCTAAAATAATTTATAAAATTTTTAGAAAATCAAATTTTAAAAAAATTCAAATAATAATTTTTTAAATTTTTTAAAAATTCTAAAATAATTCCATTTTTTTTTTGAAAATTCAAAAAAATTAAAAAATTCTAAAAACATCTAAATTTTAAAATTTTAAAATATCTAAAAAATTTAAATTTTGAAAAAAATTTAAAAATCTAAAAACTTTTAAAATTTTAAAAAAATTCTAAAAATTCTAACAAAATTTAAAAATTCAATAACAATTAAGGAAAGTTAAAAATTTTTATAAAATTTTTATAAATTTATAGAATTTTATTTTTTTTTATAAAATTTTATTTTTATAAATTTTAATTTTGTTGGAATTTTTTTATTTTTAAATTTTAAAAATTTTTCAAATTATGATAATTTTTATAATTTATAGAAATATTTCATCTTTTTAATTTTTTTTATAGATTTAAAAAAAATTTTACAAAATTAAAAATAATTGAAAATTTTTTATTATTTTTTTATTTTTTCGAAATTAAAATTTTTTTATAAATTTTAAAAATTTGTAAAATACTTTTAATTTTTTCAAAATTTTTAAAAAAATTTTAGAATTATTTGGAATTTTTTTATGTTTCTAAAATTTTTAGAATTTTAAAAAGTTTTTAGAAGTTTTAAATATTTTTGTGAATTTTTTATTTTTTTCAATTGTCTAAAAATACTTTAAAAGTTATTAAAATTTTTAGAATTTTTTATAATTTTTTGAAATGAAATTTTTTTTTAATTTAAAAAATATTTTATAATTTTTTTCAAAATTTTAAAAAAATTTTAGAATTGTTTTGAATTTTTTTAAATTTTTTTTAAGTTTCTAAAATTTTTAGAAATTTTTACAATTTCTAGAATTTTTAATATTTTTTACTAATTTTTAAAATATTTTTAAATATTTAAAATTTTTTAAAATTTCTTTTTATGTTAATGTGGCGCTCACTGAACTTTTAACACATCAATATTTTATTGGATATTGATGTTGCATTAGTAAAATTGACTAACAATATTAATCTAATATATATCAACGTGATAACGATTTAAAGGTTTAGATACCAATGCGACAGAAAAATTATTTTAGATACCAAAGTGATAAAAACTTTAAAGTTCAAGGATCAAATATATATTTAAACCATTGAAAAATTATGAATAGATTAAAATTTTTAAAAAATATATGTTAGGAATTAAGAATAGATTAAAACTTTTAAAAAATATCTATATGGATTGTTATAAGAGATAATATTTCTTTTTTTTTATGATTGACAATTTTTATTTAAGAAAATTTTTAAATACTAATATCTATATGGATTGTTATAAGAGATAATATATCTCTTTTTATGATTGACAATTTTTATTTAAGAAAATTTTTAAATACTAATTAAATCATCTTAAATATTATTTGAGTTATAATCATTTTGCTAGAAAATTGAATCCAAGAGCAAATTTTCATTTTAAGTCAACTTTGAAAAGTGAGAGTTAAACTAATATTGACATCATATTTGGTCCGATCCTTATTTAATCAAGCTCAGTTATTTATATTTTATTTTTAAATTTTATGATTATTATTTTTATTTTATACATATTTATATTCATTTTAATTCTTCTTTATTTATTGGTTTTTTTTCTCTTCATTACTTATTTTATTTTGTTTTGATTTATTTTAAATTCATTGTTATCTAGAAAAAAAAAAAAAAAAAAAAAGAGAGAGACCGAAAATTTAAGGAAAAAAAAAAAAAGGAGATAAAGGCTTAGGCCAATATTTCGATAAAATTTTGAGGATAAAGCATAGCTTTTGAAGTTAACTTGATATTAAGTTCTTGCTTTTGAAGTTAACTTGATATTAAGTTCTTATCTGTTTGAAATTAACTTTGATATTAAATTCCTGTAGGTTGACTCTATATAAAGGGAAAATTGAAGCAAACAAAAAAAATCAGAGAGAGTGATCAGGAGCAATACAGAAATCGCCACCAGCAGGACGGCACTATTGGACCGAAAATGGAAGGAATGTGTTGCTGGTAGAGTGGCTGTTGGGTTGAAGAAGTCAAAAAAGAGAAGAAATGCAAAGAGGAGGAGGCTAGGAAGAGTTCCCCACTCCTTTGAATGGTGGGAGACTTGTTGCTAGCAGATTCAAGTCACAACATCGCAAGTTTTGGAAAGGAAGGCCAGCCTTGTTTGTTTCGTTGGAAGGCAAAGAAATAAGAATGTGAGAGAAAGAAGAAGATTTTCGAGCCAAATTTGAACTAATGCTAAAGCCCAAATAAATGCTCCAACCCAAAATAAAGCCTTGAGAGTCTAATCCAATTTGAGAAGGAATTGTAGGCCTAATTCAAAAAGAGAGCCCACATTAATTTTAATTTGGGTCTTAGCCCAAATTCTGATATTTTATTTTCTCTCTTATTTCGGTTTTTAGTTTTAGCATTTATTTGTTTTATTTATATTTATTAAGGATACGTTGGTTAATAATTAAAAGATCATTTGAATAAAAATATTTTCAATTATGCTATTATTTCAATGATGAAATTTTAAGAAATTAAGAATGGTTGATTTTTTTTAGAAGTTTGTAAGTGAGAAATCTTTTCAAATTTAATCCAAATAGAGGAAAATTTTAAATAATATTTCAATAATAATTATTAATATTTATTTTTAAATTACAAAAAAATAAATTTAATAAAAATGTTGAAAATGAATTAATAATTATTCCAACGATGAGATCCCTAAAAATTTCAAGTTGTAAATTTGTTAAGAAATATTTAAGTGAAAATTTTCTCTAAATTTTATCTAAATGTGAAAAAATTTAGATGAAATTTCAATAAATAATTGTATTTTTTCACTAAATTAAAAAATTAAATTAAAATTTAAAATTGAGACTTCAAAGAAAATATTGTTATACTATTTTTTTTTCTAAAGATTAAGAAACTAACAAGAGTTTAGATTCTAAATTTAACCTAAATGGTGAAAAATTTTGAAATAAAATTTATAAAATAAAATAAATTTCAATGATAAAATTCTTAGTAATCACAAATTGATGATTATCCAAGACATTTCTAGATGAAAAAATATTTTTAATTTTGGTCCAAATGAAAGAATAATTAGATATATTTTCGACAAAGAAAATTTTAATAAACAAATTGATTAAGCTTTTCGATGATGAAAACTCTTCAAGAAAATAAATAAAATTTTTGAATACTCTTGAAGTGAGAAAGTATTTTTAAGAATTCTACTAGATTGATGAAAAAATCTTAAAAATTATTTTCAATATTAAATTTAAGATCATTAAAATCAAGACTTTATGATAATTTAAAATAAAATGATATTGTCTTTTGGATGGATACATGAGGGTGCTATAAACTTTTTCTTATCTAACTGAACTTCTGAACCCTAATTAGTAGTTCATAACCTATTCTTTTAGAGACCTTTAATTAAGCTTAGAAAGCTCCTTAAGAGGATAGATTCACTTAAGTGATCAATCGTATTTAAAATAAAAAAAATCAGTAACAATCCGTTAGTTTGTATCTAGGTATAGATCTATAGATCTATATACTATAACAATTAGTACAAGGTGAACAATATAATGGTATCATTATTATATATAATGCTATCATTATATATAAAATGTTTGTCTCCAAACCTTTGGCCTAGTGGCTAAAGGCGTTTGAGGGGACATCAATGGTCTAATTTCGAGTCAGTCTTCTCTTTTTTCCTTACTTGTACTAGGGCTTTACCCTCATGATATAATAATAATAAAAAAAGATAGCTTAATAAAACGTTTTTATTTAGAGTTTAGGAGTTTTTTACCCTACGATAAAAAATGATTTTTTTTTTTTACAAAATTTTAGATTTGAATTCTCTTTTCTTGTTAAAAAGAATCTTTATTTAGAAAACATTTTGTTCAGAAATGTTAGGTGGCTAATTCAATTTCCATGTTTATACAAAAATTGTTGAGAAGGGATATTTCAATAATTAAAACTTAAAAATATATTTTAAAAGTTTTAAGCTTGGATTTTAAAATAAACAAAAAAATTATAAAATAATAAAAAAATACATCATTGTATTAAAAAAAATCATATGTACCAATAAAATCATGAGGAACGATGATTGTTAGAATCGTGGAGTCTTTTTAGCACAAAGTTACATATGATAAGGAGCATATCACAAGAGTTTATCATTGCTCTGATATCATATAAAGGCGAGACTAAAGGTAAACTATATTTTCTATTGATTAGTGCGTAAATTTACATATTTATACAAGTAGTGTGATAATCTACAAACTTAAGATAATTACAAGAGATAATTATATGAGATGAAACATAATACATTATCACTATCTTATGTTTGATTGATAACATGAGTAAGTTGTACTTGACTATATATTTTTATGGAGATGTTGTTTTGTTGAGACTTTATCTTTACCCCATTGCTTCCATAAAACGACCCAACTTATATATTCATAATTTGCACCCAACGTGAAATTAATTTTATAATTTTAATTTAGTATAATATTCATAAAATATTAATTTATAATATAAATTATATCTTGCTTTCCCTACTAAGCAGGATTGTCTAACATTTTCTTTTTAGTTTTTTTTTTTTGGGCCATGAATTTTGCTTTCCCTTTTTTTTTTTCGGAAAAGGGAACATTCATGCTTTGTCTGTCATTTAAAGGAAAAAAAAAAAAAAAGTCAACGAACCTTCGGCTCAACAGCATGGTGGCATTGGTTTGGAGGGCGACTCGCATTTGAGGCATTACTGGAAAATCTCGTATATCTGCATTATTTTGCCAAATACAAGTAATTAATACTTAGACGTATAAATATGAACCCAAAAGAATGCCAACAGCCATTTAATTTGTTAATAAGATATTAAATTTTTTATTTTAATAATAAGAATTTAAATCATGATAATCTCAAATATTAAAAAAAATTATACAATTGAGAATAAATCTATGAGCCTATCTCATTTCATGCATAACCACTATGACCTTTGCTCCTAACCTACCTCCCATTATTATAATTAAAAAGGTGGCACTTAGTTATCGGATGCTGCCTAGCAACCCATTATCTCAGTTTTGGATTTGAAAATGATAAAGATGAAAAATTCAACATGTCTAAGTAGAAAGTGGAATGAGCAGCAGGCCCTCAAACTTACCTAATTTTCCAAAGGCATTTGGAAAATGGAAACCATTAGGATAACAGCATTATAAATGCTACTTCAAGAAAGCTCTGTCCATTCCCTTTTGACAATCAGAAAAACTTTTGGCACTAAGCCCTATCTTAATAAATTTTTTAGACACATAGAACTTCCACTTTGGAGCCATTTATATTCTTTCAATTGATGAATATCCATTATATATATATATATATATATATTATCCATTCATGAGAAGAAGAAAGCATTTTCGTCCTTTTGCCCTGACGGCCTTTTCCTTATCTTTTATCAGGAAGACAAACAACAAGCAAGCATAGGCTGCATAATTCGAAGCTTTTTGAGTTTTCAATTGCATTGAAAAGAAAAGTGAGCAGCATAAAATGTAAACACATGTGAATGGTTAAGAGCATGACACATCATCTACAAAGTGTTAAAAGAAAAGTTCAATAATCTTAGTGACCAAATGTTCTCCAATTTCGCCATGTGTGAGTCATATCCACTGGCCCATACTATGCAAAGGTCAAGAAAAGCCCCCGACTTGGATCGAATGGGATGAGAATGAAATCAGCTTGTGGTGCATATTTACTCTCAATCCAAAGTATAAATTGCCTGGCATTAGCTCTCTTATCCTTTAGGATCTTCACTTGCATTTGACAGAACTAAACGAAGGAGACAAAATATGGAAGCTTGCTTTCTCTCATCAGATTCCTTCACTAAAAGTATTAAGCTTGTGCCCTCAATCAAAGCTAGAACATTCTCCTTTCCAAAGAGAAATTTCAGCCTTTTGCACTCTAGAAAAGTTGCTTTCCCAACTTCTATAACATGTAAGTTCTTCAATCTTCTTATTGCGATTGCATCAATTTGATAAATCTTGTTTCCAGTTTGATTTTTCATTAGAATTATGTTATTTAGTCTGAATACTAATTGGCTTGGTTCCCTGTGCATATACAGGGAACCATTGCAAAATTTTTGGCGTCAAAAGCATTGCTGTTGAAAATGTTAAACTTGTTGCAAAAGGTTTTTGCGTAATCTACTGATTTGCCAATGATAGGCTGCCATGTGGATTCATCTGCCCACCCATTGGATGATGACAGCAAACCAACCCTTGATTCTGATTGGCGTACATTTAGAGCAAGATTAGTGGCTGTAGAGAAAGTATCAAGGCCAGAGGACTCCTCATCATGGGCCGATCCTGATACAGTAGCGGATCACCCTCCACCAGTTACAATTGGTGACAAATGGGCCCACACCATCCATGAGCCTGAAAAGGGTTGTCTACTTATAGCTACTGAGAAGCTTGATGGGGTCCACATTTTCGAACGGACAGTGATCTTGCTCTTATCGACAGGGCCCATAGGCCCATCAGGGATCATACTCAATCGACCGTCGCTAATGTCGATAAAAGAAATGAGATCAACGGTGCTAGATGTTGCGGGGACGTTTTCGGATAGGCCATTGTTCTTTGGTGGGCCATTAGAAGAAGGGTCATTTCTGGTGAGTCCAACAGGGGATGATCATAGTGTAGAGAAGAGTGGGGTTTTTGAAGAAGTGATGAAAGGGTTGTATTATGGGACAAAAGAGAGTGTAGGTTGTGCAGCTGAGATGGTAAAGAGAAATGTGGTTGGGGCAGGGGATTTCAGGTTCTTTGATGGGTATTGCCTGTGGGAGAAAGAGCAATTGACTGAAGAAATCAGGGCCGGTTATTGGACAGTAGCAGCTTGTAGCCCAAGTGTAGTTGGTCTTGGCAGTGTAGGAAGTGTTGGGCTTTGGGAAGAGATTCTTGGGCTAATGGGTCCTAGAAAGGTTTGGTAAAGGGCAAAGTATTGGGATTTGATGTGCATTATGTGTTTCCGAATGGTGTAGAACTTAATAATATTTGAATTCGTATCATGAAAATTATATGTTATAATTTATATTGATATAAAAAATATAAAATATTTTAAGTTTATAATATTTTAGCATGTGTTTCAAAGATGAAGAATAGATTATTTGTTCAAAACTAAGACTGCTTTTTATTTAGCTGCAGAGGTAAAAAAAACAGGGATTATCATATGTAAAACAGAAATGTGGGGTGTGGGGCACATGAAGGTGCAATGGATTTGTCCTCATCTATTCAAAATTTGAACATAGAGATGCTTGAGATTTGAAACCAAAATTCCACCAAAAAAACATACCCATGAAATTGCTACCCTAACCCCATATTAAAAATGGATTAAACCTTTACCTTGATGACTTATTAGTTAATCATGTATAGATATTTCTAACACAAAATCTTTATCTTTCTTTTATATTTTAACACAACAAATTTATTTATTCATGCCGATGTTTTTGATTTAAGAATTCGATTTTAAAACTCGAAATAAAAAATTTAATTTTAAAATTTCGAACATTCAAACGCTGTTGATATTAAAAAGTAAAGAAATTCAAACTTAATTTAAAAAAAATTATGCATCAGTAATTGAACTAATGCTAGTATGCAATATACAAAACACTTTTAACTAATTAGAACAATAGTTTTATATTATGGTCTACAACTGAACAAGCAAACAACAAATTGACAAATTGTAACAAACATTTAGACATGGTCCTCCCTGTAGACTATGTAGCTGTCATTTTAAATGTCAGCTTTATTAGTTAGGTAGGCAAGTTAAACAGGGGAGGTTTTCCAAAATTGATTGATGATTCAACATGTTCAACCAGATTTACGAGATGTCAAGATCATATAATTTATATACTATTAATTATAAATTTCACTTATATCTAACTAAAGCTAACAACATTAAATATAATATGATGATATCGTATAAAAATAATATAATTTAAAATTTTAATAAAAATTATATATAAATTTAATAAAATTAAAAAATATATTTTTTATTTAATGTATTAATATAAATTAATACACATTAATTTTTATATTTTATATATATTTAATATAAAATAAATACGACACAAAAACATACATAAATTGCAATCTAACAAAATACCATAACTTAAAAATTTATAATTAATTGAAGTTGTGGATGGTTCAAAACTATTGCCAACAATAAAAAAAGTAAGAAGATATTATTTCATGGGAGCAAGCAATTATTGCACAAATGTACATACATATTAGCAGAATTTAATGTAAGTCCTTACTCCTGGGGACCCCATCAGAGAAAATGCTTATCAGATCACATTTAAAATTTATTGTGCCCACCAATTTAGTTTGAAAGCTAAGGTCCCAACCCAAAATTTTGAATATTTCAAGCTGCAAAAAGAAGTATGTTTGCAGTGATCTTATCTCTTTTATTATTATTATTTTTTATTTTCCATTCAAAACAGACAGGCTTTTTAAAGTAGCTTTTGTTCATAATTTTGAAACATTCAAGTAGAAAGGGTAAAAAAACTCAAAATCGATGGTTTTGATCTAATCTGATTTTTTATGATTGATTGTTATTTTAAAAAATTGGTCGGATCGAATGGTATGAAAAAAAAAAAATCGAGATCAGGTTTTAGACAAATCAGATCTTATCTGATCCGATATATATAAAAATAATTTTTTAATAATTTTTTTAATTTCAATAATTATTTATATATATTTAATTTTATATTTATATTAAAAATAATATTTTATTAATTTCGAATCGAATCGGGTTGGATATGATTTTATATAATATCGGATCAGATCGAGTTCGAGTATAAAAATAATAAAAAATTATCGGATCGAATTTAAATTCAAATTTTACATGTTTAAAATCGGATCAAATTCGGGACGAACAAAAACTCATTTCGACCCGACCCGCTGCCATCATTATTTTCAAGTTAGATCAGATTTTGCCTGAAAATGAAACTGGTTGTGATCCAAATTTGGTCAAAAACAAAGTAATTAGGAAAGAAATTCAATACAGGGAGAAGATTAAAAAGTTATGCTTCTTTTTCGATTGCAAAGTCCCCTTTAAAAAAATCATATTTTTTTTGCTCATATATATAATATATTTGATCGTTGTATATTATTAATTAAATATGATAATTCATTTATTTATATTAAACACATGTAAAATAAAAAAAAATTATCGTGTTATCATGTCTTAATACAAGATACATTTTTATTTTTTTTTCAAATTCATATATATTTTTTATCAAAACCTTAATCTATTTTAGTTTTATATTTTTAGTGTTATTTTTATATCATATCATTGTGTGGTATTTAAAATTATTAAATTTGCAATTCTTGCTTTCTGAAGAACAAATATAAATATATTAGGTTTTCATTTAAATTTGGAAATGAGTGCTTGCTTTAGTATTTTTTTTTATATATAAATATCATTTTAGATTAATTTAAAACTTATACAAATCTATAATCTATAAATAATATAAAAGCAATGACCCTGTTAAAACAGTAAAATATATTCAATTGATGCTCCATTAAAGTAACACATGTGGATTCTTCCATTAATCATTAATAAACATATTATTTCAGAATCTTTTGCTTCTTGGCTTAGTGACAAAAAAGCCTTAAGAAAGACATTAGAGTTTGAGTTCAAACCAAATCACTCACTCTCTTTAATAATTTAATGGAGAGATTTTGGAGAATTTCAATCATTTTTTTTTTTGTTTTGGTTGGTTAAAAGTGGTGTATTTTAATTTTTTAAATAATTAATAATATATAATTATTTTTATTTTTATTTTTATTCAATCAATTAAATGAAATTAAATAAAATGAGCTTATCAAATTTATTTATCAAATAAACATATATAAGCTTAGGTATAAAAATTAATATTATTTTGTTATATTATGATCAAAGTTATTTTTAGATTATATTTGAGCTTAATTTTTTTTTATCGATTTTAAACATGAACTCCCCAACATCAACATGATATATTTATTATTTTACTTTTAAAATACATATTACAAGTAAAGATAATAACGAATCAAATTAAAAAAAAATTAAATCTAAATCAAATCAAATAAAAAATTAATATGAATCAAATCAAATATTATGATTTTGAATCAATTTTTTATTTTTTGTATTTACTTTCGCATTCCTACCTACATGGGTTGAGTTTGAAAAAAGAAAAAAAAAAAAAAAAACTCATTTTTTAAACTAATGGTTGTGAACTTACAAATTCTTTTCAACAAGGAATTAAATATAAATAGTAGCAGCTGGAAATAATTTAATAATACAAGTTGAAGATGCCAAAGGAATAATAAATGTGATGTAAAAAAAAATGTCTCCTGCACGTTTATTCTCTTCAATATTTTTATTAATTAATTGAGAAGTAAGGTATAGCAGCTGATGATCATTATTGGACTAAAGAAAATATGAGTTTGCTAATAAATAGTTTGGTAAGATTCCTAGCCATATTGGATTTACACCAAAGTACACCCATAAAACTAATTTGAAAAGGCCATATTTCGGAGAACAAATCATTGCTTCAATGTGCAGCTAATTTGATCTCAAAATTAAAATTTTTTATTTATATTAGGAATGGACAAATCAAATCTAATTTTTTAAATAATAATAAAAATATTTATTATTGAATTGCACATTTGTTTGAGTACATAGTTGAATAATTTAAAACACTCATTTATTTCATTTTTAATTAGTAACAATAAATTTATTTACGAATCGAATTATTCGATCAATTCACATATCTTGAGTCTTGAATAATGATTAAATATTAAATTATTAATAAAAAACTTTTTTTATTAAAATTTTAATTATATTTAAAACCCTCATTCACTTCATTTCAAATCTTTGTTTAATTATTGATATAATTAAAATTAATAGTGGTCATAATTTACAATAATTTTTTTTCTTGTCAATTTTCAAATTTAATTTTAACAATATAAAATCAAGCAATGTGTTTATAATTAAGAAAAATAGTAATTATATAAATAAATATGACAATGAGGTTGGAATATATGTTACAAAAATTATTTTACCTAATATTATGTTCATTTAGGGTTGGTAGTCCAATTCATATTTGGTAAGTTTCAACTTGACCTGATCTCATAAGGTGTATTTTTTTTTTAAAATCAGATTTAAGGTCGGATCGGATAATGTTAAGAAAAAATCAAGATCAGATCATATTCAAATTATAGGCAAATTCCGATTCGATCTGACTTGATATTATATAAAAATTATTTTTTAATTATTTATTTAATTATATATATTTATGTAATTATATAATTATATATTTATATTCAAAAAATAATATTTTATTAATTTTAAATTAAATCAAATATAATTTATATAATATCGAATCGAATCAAATCGAATTTAAATATAAAAAAATAAAAAATTTTAAATTAAATCGAATTTAAATTTTATAAATATAAAATCGAATTGAATCGAATTCAAATAAAAACTCATTTCACCTTGGCCCATCGTTAATCTTACCTCCATCCATAAAATTTCAATACTAAATTTTATGAATTTTATAAATTAAAATTTCGAGATTGAGACAAGAAAATAATTAAGATTGAAAAGCGAGGAATATCTAATTGTCGGTCCAAAAAATAGTGAAGCCATCCATCGGACAAGACACAAAACTTATCAGTTAATGAACAACACTTAGAATAAAAGAGTTGGTTGGTGTAAAAGACCAAAAGATCATCGACAAATCACACAAGTTAGACAAACAAAAAGCCAATCAACCAAACATAAACAAACAAACAAATGCAATGATAATCCAAATAATTTGTGTAATTAATCTAAATTAAACTTGGGTTGTTCATCCGATTTGTGAGTTTGACCCAGTTAAGGTTGAGTTCTAAACATAAAAATTAATAAAATTATTTTTATTTAATTTTAATCTTAAAAAAATAAATTTTTAATTTTTAAATATTTTATATGCATATTTTTCTTTTAAAATTTAAATCTCTTAAACTTGACTGGATATTGAATAAAATTTTTAAATACAGACAATATTTAATCTAAATATATTAATTTTAATAAAAATTATATATAAATTTAATAAAAATAAAAAAATAGTTTATTTTAATATGTTGATATATATTATGATACAATATTTTTTATATTTTATATATTAAATAAAAATAAATAAATCTAAATATACAAATTATTAAATTTAAAATTATTTACGGCTGCTAATAATCAGGTTTAATTCAAATCTATAATTAGAAAAATTCTAAGACTAAAAAAACAGAAGAAAGGAATTTTCTTTTTTTGTGCCAGCGCGTGTGCCGGAACTTCACTTCCTTCCGAGTATTAAAAAATTAAAAACATTGTACTTTGTTTGGGATTGTTGTAGTTTCATGTGGCTGAAAGTGCGCGTGGGGGTGGTGACAGAGTCTATCAGAAACCAAGATTTTATAAGTGAAGGAAATGGTGGGGTCAGCCACTTTTGCAAACAGTTGGGGAATTTGTCGTTTTGAGTGAACCAGGTGTCTGAATTTTTCTTGAAGAAGTATTTTATGTGTACCCAAAAAGCATGGAAAGTGGGAGAGAATCTAGAAATTGTGAAATAAAAAATAAAAAATTTGTAAAAAAGATCATATCTTTCAATTCCTCGATAACACAGAAAAGAAAAAATGAAAAAAAAAATTACATTAATTGCAAAACAAAACTATAGGTGAAGCAAAGTCTGATAGAATAATGAATTAGACCAAAAGTTGACAAATTTGAAGTCATTGTTGTTGTTAAGAGAGAGGTTTTTTTTTTTTTTTTTTTTTTTCTTATTTAGAGAAGATCTCTTTTCTGCGGTGTGGGATCTCTCTATTTTCTCTTATCAGATACTGGCCCAGCAGATCTGAATTTTCCTTATTTTTTTTGTTCTAGGCTACCCATGATCTGAACTCTTTTTTCTTCAATGGCTGGTTTTTCAGATACCCAATTCATTGTTTAGGCTCAACAAGCTCTTTGTTTCTATATTTTTGGTTCATTTAGATCATGGGTTGTTCCAGTTTTTTTTTTGTACTTTTTTCTGTGCTGCTACAGTGAATTGTCAGGAAACATGTTGGATTCCTTGTGGTTGTCATTTTCTGGATAATTTGATGATTTTATAGAGCAGTTTCTGATAAGAGGGGTGGCAAAGAAGATAATTATGAGGTGCACTTTTTTCTTTAAAAATTTTTCAAGTTGGATGATTGATTCTGTTTATTTATTATATCTGGAGTTTCCTTTTTTTTTTACCTCAATTTTGCAGCATGCATATTTTGGTGCTTTGATTGTATGGTTATTCCTCTCTCTTTCTTTCTGTCTGACTCTGAATTTCTATGTTTCTGGGTGTTTTATATCCATTTTTGCTTTTTTTACTTATATAGGCTACAGCAGCCATTACTATTAGTAAATTCTATTACAACAGTGCAATAGGGGTCAGGGAGATTCAGTTTTTCCCTCTGCTTGACTGCTTTATTGTTGGCCTAATAGGTTTATAGCTGCATTTCTCATTCTTGATTTGAGGATTTAAACCTCCTGAGGAATAATCTACAATTATCTGTTGGAATGTGCCCTTCTCGTTTTCCTTGATTTTTTTTGGTACAAAGAGGCCGGAGCTTGTGATAGAGGAAGGGCTCACAGGTACTAAGATTTGAATTTCAGGCTTGTTAGATGTCACGTGTCAAAGGACACTGAGTTGAGCTCTGGGTTCTTTTTTCCTTGATTTTGTGGCATAATGTTTAAATTTTAGTTAACGCATTGCATTCTGATGCATGTCCCCTAGTGTTTGTTTGTTCTTTTTAGGTAATCTTGTGTTTTTTTTTTTTTTGGTTGTGTGAGGAACTTGACACAGATGTCATCCAGATTGACCATATCTGTAGACTTTTGACTTCTGAATGTGCATCCAGCTTGGTTTTTTATGAGTTTTTTCCAAATGCATTTCCCTGCTTATCAATGCAATAATGATTTATCAATTTTAGATTGCGTGTAGATTTAAGCCATCTTTTGTAAAGGCATGGTAATTGGTTGTGGAAAACAACAGTGAATTAATTCATGTTTGTGGCATTTAGTTGATGATTTGACTTCAGAAATGGTTAATATAAAAGACAAAAGACCTCATATACTCCCTGTAATACTTGGTGAATAGTCAGTTAATACGATTGCTTCTATGAATTTTCCAATTAAACTGAGTAATGCCTTTCTCTTTCTTACAGACACACCATAAGCTTCTATGTAATTTTCGTGTTCCTGGAAGTGAACCACTTCATTACCTGCTTATGATGTTGGAAATGGATTTTGTTTCTTCCTGTTAGTTTAACCTGTTGATTAGTGAAGTTGATTATGATCAGGGATGTTGGGGTGGTTTTGCGAAGATGGTTCTGGAGGCTTTATATTATGTTATTAAAGACAAGTTGTCTGCATCATTGTATGTTTTTGGTGATATGCAAGGATTTTTCTCTGTTGGCTGATCATGAACCATTGATTAGTCCAGTGAATCGGCTAGAAATACTCATTTAAAATACAAACTATGTCTTTTAGAATTTTTTTTTTCTGCCAACTAGTTCAATTCCTCATTTGTGATATTTGCAGGAATGGGAACTGAAGTACATTCAAACATGCAGCTTCGTGGATACTATTCCTTGAGGAATCTAAATGGCAATACTGGCAATGTTGGCTGGCCTTTACAGCATGAAAGTAGAAACTCAGGGCAGTACAATGACTTATTCCTGTCAAGGCTGGCAATGGGGGATGATAATAAGGAACAAATAAGGCAAACTATCTTGAAGCATGATTCGATATTGAGGCATCAGGTATGCCCTCTTTTAACTTTGTTGGACTATGATGCTTTTTTGAATTCTCAGAACTTGTTTTGGGATGCAGTTATCTGATGCTTGAATTTGTTTATCCAGCTCCATGAACTTCATCGTCTTTACAGAATACAGCGGGACATGATGAATGAAATCAAGAGCAAAGAAGGAAAAAAACATTTGATTCCTGTGGCTACATCACAGTCAAATCCTTTTTCATCTGGCTTTACGTCTGAAGATGAACAAAAGAGGTGCCGTGCTTCTGAATCACATTTGTTGGACTTAAACCGTTTTAGACCATCCACGTCTGATCCACATAACATCCAGTCTCAGTTTAATCCCTTGCAAGGGAATGTTGTACAATCTGGTTGCTGTTTGACTCAAAATGGTTTAAAGTTAAAAAACTGTGAAACATTGGAGTCTCAACGCAACACAGTTCAGAGCAGATTGTTCGACCTTGAATGTCCGGTCGAGGAATATATTAACAATAAAGATGTAGGTCAAGGAGTTTCTGCAGTGTCAGGATTGGAAAGTTACCATTTAAAAAGGAGTTATGAGGTTCCCCGTGAGAGGGATGGGAATTTATCCATGCACTACAATAGAAATTATAGTTGTAATGGTGAAGCTACCAGTTTCAAGTTAAATTTAAAGGGAACTCATGGTTTCACCGATTTGAATGAACCTACCCTGGTTGAAGAAGCATCTATTTCAGCTTGTGCTGGCATTCTAGGTAACATTACTTGCTCCAAAGAGGAGGTTCAAAGGAAGGACCTATCATCAATATCACACTCACATCTAGACTTCCACCAATGGGCTACAGAATTTTGCCAGGAACCCCATAAAGCAAGAGAGAGAGGGATTAGTCTTAACAATTTGCATTCGGAGGCTGAAAGGAGGCAAAATGGATGGTTCTCTAATAGACTTGAAAATGGTAATGTAGCTATGTTGCTAACAACTCTTTTGATGCTCAAATTTTTTTTGTCTATTACGTGTTATATCCTTGAATTTACTGACCCCAAAAACAAATCCTTTGAACTTTTGATGACTTTTCCATTTAATCCCCGAACCAAATAACACAATGCTTGCAAGAGAAACAAAATGATTTTTTTTAAAATTTTTGTTTAATAGCAGTTTTAGTTATTAGTGTTGCAACGTCGTTAAATTCAATTTGACACTTTGATATGACACACACTTTCAGGACAAACTAGAAGCAATGGAAGTTTTCATCTTGAAGATTTGAATACCCCGTGTAAATCAGTACAAGTTGAAACTACCAAGGCCCATTCTGCAATGTTTCTGTTATTTGATCAGAATAAGATAGAGACATGTAGAAAACGAAAAATTTTTGGCGTAGAAATACCTGAAAAGAGTAATGCTACGTCTGCTGTTGCATCACATGCACTTGATCCACTGCCTGTTCGTTCTTGGTCAGATTCAGCCAATTCTGGGCTCCTCTCTTGTTCAAGTTGGACTAAATTTTCTGGTAACTTGAGCAAGAATCTAGTAGGAAACCCTGGCTCTAGGACCTATGTCCAACTTAATGCTAGTTCAACAGCTTTGGGGCAGGGTCATGACATTATCAGGGGCAAGTTGCTTGTTGACAGCAATTCAAGATCTCTTCAAAGTTTTAGAGCTGAGGTATCGCCCCAAAATGACTTTCACTTTGGCTGTTCATCTGATTCCAAGGAATCATGTGGTTGCTGTCCATCGGTTGGCTTCTGCAACCAAAATGGCATCAGTGAGAGTAAATTTGCTTCTGAACAATCTGCTCAACATGGTCCTAAAATTAGCTTTAAACTTTTACCATGGATGGAGGCAAAGTCTGCAGTATCTCAAAATATGGGTGCAATGGCTGTGGACCAGAATGAAGAAATTTCTCATTCTAACTTTGTTTCTGTTAATGGATCAATAAAGCAGAACTCAAATGGAGGATTGTCATGGTTAAGAGCCAAAAGACCATGTAATGAGAAACCTATCAAAGAAGTTGAAGATTCATGTCAAATGAATTTGGATTCCTCGCAAAACTTCTCTCACCAATTTATTGACAAAACTGCAATGAGAATCCAAGATTCCTTGTTGGCAACTTGCGTTGATGATGTGAAGCACAGGAAAAGTGATACTAATAAATCTTCAAGCAGCACAAAGCTTCTTGGGTTCTCCGTTTCTGAAAATATATGCAGAGATCTGCCTTCGCCCAACTGCCCCTTAAAACCGGGTTCTCCTGCTTCTGCAATTGATGGTGTTAACTTTGTTATGACTCAGGGTCCTCTGCCATCCAAATATGGACAGCAATGTCTAGTTGAGGGTCTGGTTGCAGAGAAGAGATCGGTTAATCAGAATGCTGATATCGGATGCATTGATTTGAATTTGTGCGTTATTGAAGAAGGGATAGAAGAAGATGTTCAATCAGCATCCAATGCTATGAGAACCAATGTGAGGATTGCCAATATAGATTTGGAGATGCCAGTGACCATTGAAATGGGAACTAAGGTTGCTTCTGGTTGTGAATCTCTTGAAAGCAACCTTACAAAACCTTCTAACTTGCTACATGATGAAATCAGTGAGTCTCAGGGATGTTTAAGCGTTTCTGCAGCAGCTGAGGCACTGGTTGCCATATCATCATCCTCTTTGACTAATCTTCAGCAGAAGGCCGGCTCTCACGATTTGGAAATATCAACAAGTGATTCCCTTCATTGGTTTGCAGAGATAGTTAATTCCTGCTGGAGTGATACTGAGAATTATGTTGGATCAGCCAATGGTGCATGCCTTGACTACTCAATAGCTGATGGGATTGATACCTTTGAGTTCATGACATTAAATTTGACAGAAACCAAAGTAGAGGAGTGTTGTTATAACCCTCAAGTTCAAGAGAACAAAAAAAGTAAAGACACACTTCTGAGACGGCCACGGAGAGGACAAGCACGGCGAGGAAGGCAGCGGAAGGACTTTCAGAGAGATGTACTCCCCAGTCTTACTTCTCTGTCGAGAAATGAAGTGACTGAGGATTTTCAGATGATTGAAGGGCTAATTAGAGCAATTGGTGGAAACTGGCAGTCAAGTTTGACACAGAAGAATAATGCTAAGGGTAGTACAGGAAGGGGAAAGAAGCGTGCTGGGGGATCTACTCCTCCCGCCATGACTGAAGACTGTTCAAACCAGTTTGAGCAAATGAAAACGGGACTTGAAGAAAGCAGCCTAACAGGATGGGGAAAGAGGACCAGGCGTCCGCCACGTCTGAGATGCCTGATTAGCAGCCCTCCTCTAGCTATAAAATAATGAAAGAAAGATCAGTTTGTCATTTCAGAGTGAACTGGAAGTTCTTCTCATGGCTTTGCTAGTCAGGTTTTCCAGGCCAGAGAAATCCACATTGTACATGTTTCTTCTCATTTTCCCCTTTAACCATATTTCGGTGGTTTTCTCATATAGTTAAGTATCCTTAGTCCTGATTGACTTGTATAATTCTTCATAATAAGTTGCATTGTCTCCCAACCAGAAAAGGAAAACAAGGACTGAAAATTTTCAATGTAGAATGTAAAATATTCTAAAGGATTTTGTTTGAGAGTGTGCAAGAACTGTTCCATGCCTTAACAATTAAAGAGCTAACGCTTATCTTCTGTTCTTGGCTGATCAACTTTATTTGTCTGTCTATAAAATTTGGTATGATGTTGTAAAGCTTTCAGGCTCCTCCATGGCATTGCATTCACCACTTGTTTTGATCCTGTTTCCATGCAATTGCAAAACAAAAACTGTTAATTTAGATGGATAGGATATGGATAGGATCTTCATGCTTAAGTATGCAGGTCATATTAAGAAGTGGGCGTTTTTGCTTTGGTTAAGGTGGTTAAGGCAGCTCCCATCTACATTTGTTGATTGTCAAAATCCAATTGAAATTATAAAGTTAAAGCCTTCTAAACCAAGATCAACATTCAACAATACCTAAAAAGATAAAGAATTTATACTTGATTCACAATCAATGTATAAATTTTATATAGTTTCAATGAACCATATGATGTAAAAGTTTAAAAAAACTGTATACTTATTATAAAAATTTCTAAAAATTATATTTACTCATTAATGATAAACGTCATATAATATGCTGATAATATATAAAATTTATATACTGATAATGCATCAAATATAAACTTAAAGATATATAAAGAGAGCTTTGTGGGATAAAGCAACCATGCTGATTTATTTCACAGTAAAACTATGGTGCTTACAAAATGAAAATAGAAAGCAAATTCTTAAATATCAACCCTCAAGGGAAGCTATTGCATATTAAAAGGTTAAAACTTAGTTTTACACTAAACTTTTATTTGTATTTTAGAAATTTCATAAAGAAAACTCAAAGTTTCTAATCAAAAGTGTTTCTGCTTTGTTAATTCACACAAGGTTAATGTCATGGTAAAATAATTAGGAGAAAATGTAATTATTAAACAATGTTATATCATCTATCATTTATATATAAAATGTAAATTTTAAAAGTATTAAAAGTGATTGATATAAATACCTCTATGAATTTTTAAATTAACAAATATCGCTTTGATTAATTTGTTTTTATATTTAATTTAATTCAATTAAAATTAAAAATAGAGTCTTTACAAAATTAAATTACTTAAAATTTTGAAATTTTAATTCTAAAAGTAATAAAAATTATTAACTAAAATAGTGTTATTAATTTTTTTTATAAATTTTAATTTAAATGAATTTTTTTATTATTAGACTTCTTTTTATAATTAGACTTAAAAGTGTTAAAATGATTTATTAAAACACCTTTAATAAAATTTTAATTTAAAAATTTTTTCAAGTAATTGATTAAAATACAATTAGGAAATTTTTTCTATAAATTTTAATTTAAATGAATTTTCTTTTTAATTATTAGACTTTTCTTTTATAATTAGACCCATTTAAGGCACAAAATATGATATTTATATAAAATGAAAATAAAAATAGAACGAGTTCAAAGCTTATTAGTGTGTATAAGTTTGTTTCTTTATATGAAATTTATTTCTTTATTGTTGTAAAAGTAATTTCACATATAATTTATATCAAGAAATAAATTCATTAAAAATAATCATAATTAAGTCGATGAAATATTTTTTTTTTATTTTTTGCTTTTCAATTTCTTGTTTTAATTAATTTACTTACTACGTGACTACAATAATTAAGATTTTTAGTGATGATTTTCTTGTGATTGTAAGCAATATTATCACAAATATTAGTTTTTGCGACGAAATATTTTATAACACTATTGTAATAAATAATTTTGATGTATTGTTATTCGGTCACTAATATTATAACTAGGTAGTTTCTCGTGCGTTATTACAATTTAAATTGATATTATCCATTAACTTTCCTCAAAGAATGCATTCATGAACAATTTACAATTAGACTAATAAAACAATTTCATTACAAATTTTCGATAAAAATTTGAGGCACAATACAATAAAGATAGGCTAATGAAACAATAACAATTGTAGATTGATGTGCCTAGGTTTTTTTTTTTTTTTTTATGGGAACAAAACTCTAGAAGCAAAGAATGGTTACTACAACAAAAAATTTCTGAAAATTTTTAATCTAATACTACAACCATGATAAGTATATTTCGTAACCGAAAATAGATTTAGAAAAAAATGGATTTACTTGTCTGGGTTTGAAAGAGAAAGGATTAGAATAGTATGGACAACCAATGAGCCATTAGCAGCTTGATTTTCTCATGAAATTGAAAGAATGAATATTCATGTACTTGGGACTATAAATAGTTGGAAAATGATTGAAGGAGGGGATTTCAAAGGGGAAGGATTGATATGAATCGTTTCTGACTGTTTGGGATTTTGAGAAATTTTAAGAGAATATTGTAGAACATTGTTATGGATTTGAATAATTTCAACAAACAAAAAACTTGAATAATTATTAGGGATTTTAGACAAATGGGTTAGATAAATGAATGAGAGGAAGGGAGTTATTTTTTGAATTTTTTTTTTTTTTGCCAAATAAGGGTTTAGTTTGTTAGAATCCTCGCAAAAGGATTCAGTGGATTTCAAAAACCAAAAAATTTGGATAATTATGAGGAATTAAAGGAAATTAGGTTAGATCAATGAACTGAATAAATATTTTAGTTATACAAAAAAAAAAATCACCGATTAATATTTTATTACAAATGTGTTGTTTTTTTGGTTTACCTCATTTATATTACTAATTGTTGCCACGTGTCAACAAAATAGACATTGACGATAAAAATACATTGTTGTGGATTTAATGAATTTCAACAAATAAAAAACTTAAATAATTGTTAGAGAGTTAAGCCAAATGGGTTAGATCAATGAACAAGAGGAAAAGAGGAATTTTTTTGAAATTTTTTTTTGCCAAATAAAGGTTTAGTTCGTTGGAATCCTTGCAAAAGGATTCAATGAATTTTAGATGTAAACATTTTAATTTATTCGGGCTCAAGTCCATTGAGTTTGGTTTAACAAGATTTGAGTCTCAACCTATCATACTTGATTCAATGGAATATAGGTGTTAGGCTCAATTGTTTATTATTTTTTTTATGAGCTTTATTTTATTTTATTTTATTTTTATTTTAGTTAATGATAAGATAATAATAAAATAAAAAATAGAAATCCAGTCAAATGTGAGATTTAGAATTAATTAAAAACTCTCATAATTCAATTTATAAATACTTCTATTGATCAAAGGCAAGAGGACATAAAACACACAAAATAAAAGCAAAAAAAGTGTTTAGAAGAGCAGAGGCAATTTTAGAATTTTTATAATTTTTTTTGAATTTTTGGATTTTTTAAAAAAAATTTTTAGATTTTGATGAAATTTTTTTACGTCAGTTGAATTTTTCAGTGACTTTTTCGACATCGGTTGAATATTTCAACAGGCTTTCTAGAATTCAGCCCAGATTCTAGTGTCGGTTGAATTTTTTGGTGACTTTCCAGTAAACCAACCCAGATTCCGACAACGCTTTCTAGAATTCGACGGAGATTTAATCGAAATTCATCTGGTTTTAGAGAGAAAAAGAGAGAAAAGAAAGGGAAGAGAGAGAAGGAGAAAAGGAGATCTTAAGTAGAAAGAAGGAATTTGGCCTTTTATAGGGCCCTGAAATGACGTTGTTTTAGAGTTAAGTGACTTTTCAGGATACACGTATTTTTATTCGAATGACCTAACCCGAGTGCTGACCCACGTTTCAACCCGCTCCCTAGACGCAATTGCTGAGTAGAGCCGTGCACCTTGAGCCGCACTTTCCAACCTTCTCCTGTGTTTACAGCTGAGCCGTTTTGAGCCGTTCCAGCCGAGCTGTATTTTTTTGTATATTTTAGGATTTTTGTTTATTTATTTTTATGTGTTTTTTTAGTATTTTCGTATGATTAAATTCAAAAAAAATAATAAAAAAATAAATTTGAGAATAAATATTAATTATCCAATGATTGAATTTATAGAAATTTCAAATGGTAAATTTTTATAAAATTTCTAAGTGAGAAATTTCTATAAAATTTTTATTTTCTCTAAATTTATCTCAAATGATGGAATAATTTATAGAAATTTCAAATGGTAAATTTTTATAAAATTTTTAAGTGAAAATTTTCTATAAAATTTTTATTTTCTCTAAATTTGTCTCAAATGATGGAATAATTTAGATAAAGTTTCAATAACAATAATTAATATTTATTTTCAAACAAAAAAAAGAATAAAATAATAAAATTTTGGAATTAAATATAAATTATCCAAAGATGAGATTTTTAGAAATTTCAAATGGTAAATTCCTAAGAAATCTTAGGTGAGAAATTTCCTTTAAATTTGACCCAAATAGTGAAATAATTTAGATGAAATTTTAATAAAAATAATTGTATTCTTTTTCAAATAAAAAAATGATTGAAAATATTTGATAATTATCTAAGGATGAGATTCTTAAAAATTTTAAATGGTAAATTTATAAGAAATCTCTATGTGAGAAATTTTTTTTAAATTTGTCCCAAATAGTGGAATAAATTAGATGAAATTTCAATAAAAATAATTTTCATATTATTTTCTTACTAAAGAAAAAAAAGGGGAAAAAGAGGAATTTCTAAATAGGCTTAAATAGTGAGAAATTTAGAAATTCAAAAAGAGAAAATATTTTTAATTTGACATAAATGGTGGAATAATTAGATATATTTTTAATAAAAAAATAATAAATTAACTTTTATTCTGAAATAGAGCCTCTTCAAAAAATCAAATGAGATTCTTGAATACTCTTGAGGTGAGAAAATATTTTTAAAAATTCTACCAAATTGATAAAGGATCTTATAAATTATTTTTAATATTTGAACATAAAAATTTAAAACCATTAGACTCAAGACCTAAGGATAAATTTAAAATAATATGGTACCATCATTTGGATGGGCATGTGGGGGTGCTATAACTTTCCTCACATGTAACCAAACTCTCGAACCCTGCCCTGATTAGTAGACTTGAGCCTATTTATTCAATGAATTTTTGATGTAGACACCCTAATTTATTTTGGCTCAAGTTCATTAGGTCTGGCTCAATAAGGTCTGGGTCTAAGCTTATCGGACTTGGTTAAATGAAATATAGGTGTCAGGCCTAATTGTTTATTATTTTTATGGGCTTTATTTTATTTTATTTATTTTATTTTTATTTTTCTTTTCATTTTAGTTAATGATAGGATAATAAAAAAATAAAAATTCTAGGCATGTTTGGGGGTGATGACAGAGTAGCAATTGGTCTTAATTTCTTTAGGTTTAAGGATAATTCAGAAATCCAATCAAATGTGAGATTTAGAGTTAATTAGGAACTCTCCTAATTCAATCTATAAATACTTCTACTGATCAAAGGCAGGATAACATAAAACACAAAAAATAAAAGCAAAAAAAAAATGTTTAGAAGAGTAGAGGCAATTCTAGAATTTCTA